GGGGGATTGAGCCTGCAGGGACTTTATAACATTGTTAAGATGAGAGATAGTGGTGCTAAAATAGTGACTTCATAATCTGAAAATTTGAGTGAAAACGGATCTTTATTCATGGTACAAATTGGGAAAAACTGATCTGATCGATTCCTTAATTCTCCCAACTATATTATTACAATTTAACTACATTTTAGGTGAATGGAAATCTCACAAAGCAATAAAATGGCTCTACATTCCATTCCAGACACTTAAGTGTTGACAGATTTTTTATAGCCTGTTTTATGTCTTTTTTTCATGGAAAAAACGGTTGGGAAAATTCAAAAATGGTTGGGAGACTTTACTGTTAATCACTGTTAGAGGGTGTCGTACATCGACGCCTCTAATAAAAACCATAGATATCTTCGTGGTTTGAGAATTTGTTCAGGATTGTTTGCATGTCAAAGGGGTTAGTACAGTAGAAGGAATATAGTAAGTAACATTTTATACAAAAATTAAGCTTTTTTTTTCATCAACCTTCAACAATGTTACCAAGTCACTTTAAAGGATGTTGGCAAATTTAAATATGTATTATTTTTTTTAAGCTGGGGACTAGACTCTAGATCCTCTTGTCACTGCTGCATGGGAATTCCCTGATTCCATTCATTATGGCTCGGTTGCGTCTGAACTCATCCATAATGGAAAATGCTCATGAATAGAAAGTGTTTGGCTACAAATTGTAGAAATACGTGCACTGAGGGTAATCATATTGTATTAATGAAATGACATGTGCGTGAACTTGATGGATGGAAACCTTGCACTATACCTTCGTATAGTTCGTAGAGTAGTGCAAAACATCATGGATCGACCTGGCAACCATGTAGACGAAGGCAGACGAAGGCTGATTAAATTCGCTTGCATTAACTTGTAAGCGCAGCAATTTAATGAAGTAATTGTTTGATATCAAAATACAATACTCATTGCCGACTTCTTTTTTTGTTTAAACATAGTATTACATGCTACGACCACTTGAAGAGGTTAAACATTTGTGCTCACTTCCAGCTTTACAACTGGATTTTGCGCACTTCACATTTTGCCTTTCAAGTACCAAAAAATTCCACTCTATATAGGCCCTACAGATTCGTGTTCCAGCAGTAGATTCGTCATTTATGATATACCCAACCCAATTCACTTACTATGCTCCCATCTTAAAATCGATATGAATTTAATTATACAAATACAGCTCTTTTTATTGGTACATTGTGCCCTCCTGTGACTGGATCTGCTTTCGCGGATGAATAATGATCAACCGTTAGTAAAATCAAATTCTATCCGTGTTTTTCTTTGTCTCGCTCCGCGCGTTTTAGGTTTTCCCCGGGGTATTCCAAACTGCGATTGGCTTTACTTGAATTACTTCCGCAAATACATAATTATGCTAAAATGCTACAATACCACTGTGTTTCCAGGATGGTGTACATGTTATGATTCCGATAGACCGATACTGTAAAAGTTTATCAAAGCAGGATACCTCAGAGCTCAGACTCGTTTAGCCATATGCTTGGTGAGTATTATATCAAATGTATTTGTGTCGATCTCGCTGGCTTGTCAGATGAGATCAGAGGCTTAAATGTCTATGGGGCGCCTCGATATGAATATTATTTATTTTCCTGTATGCTTCACCAATGCAGTACACATATTGTTGGCCTCTTTTTTATAAAGACAAATCTGTCATCAGTGGTCTATATTCTGTTCCCACTTGGTACTCTCTAAAAAAAATAGAGTGATCACGGACGTCACTCCTCTGGAGAGTGAAAATGTAGTGAAAATAGAGTGAACATTCACTCTTTTCTTCTTAGAGAGCACTCTAAAATCAATCGATTTTCACTCCTAAACAAGTGATCACGGACGTCACTCCCAAGAAAGTGATAATGAACATTCACTCTTTTCTTCTTAGAGAGCACTCTAAAATCAATCGATTTTCACTCCTAAACAAGTGATCACGGACGTCACACCTGCAAGAAAGTGAAAATAGAGTGAAATTCACTCTTTCTTTTAAGAGAGTAGCCTTTATTATATAAATATAATATGTATTCTGTTTACCTTTACCTTACCGCCAATACGGGAAGAATGCTGAGGCATCAGTCGAGCTGTTCCAGGTCTGTCTTTTTGTCACTTCTGCTACTCTAGCTATACACTTCTCATAATAAACAAGACAGGGGGGCAAAGGGTATCGAGAGAGATAGCGATGTTCCTTCCAGTAACGATAAGCTTGGTTTTGAAGGCGTGGCGCCTCAATTACTTCTACAGGCAGAGAGTTCCAGTCATCAAATGCTCTGTGACTAAAATTTGTCCTTCCTTACATTATTTTTTCCCACACGTACATATAGGCTTTGCAAGCTTGAACCTGTGCTCTTGTTGTTGTGTCTGCTAGTCGGAAGAAGTGGTCAGGGGTTAGTCTGTCATATTCATAAATGATCGTGTACACCCAAATTATGTCGCCTCTCCTCCTGTACTCAAGAGATTGCAAGTTCAGGGCATTTAAGCTTCCTTGTGTTAGGTTGGTGTTTCATTGTGGAGATCATCTTTGTTGCTCTCTTCTGGAAGCTCTGCACTCTCTCCTCGGCCTTTGCATCTGAAATGACTTGGTTACCAGATTACATTTCCGTACTCAAGGAGGGGTGCACTAGTCCCTTAAACAGCTTGCGAATGGTAGATATGTCGTGGCACTAAAAGCCTACACGTCTGATGCTGACCAGAACGTTAAACCTTGGTACTTGATACCTGTTTGTTCAAAGTACACGGTAATTATCTAATATATCCAAAAAAAGAAATTACAAAAAACAATGTATGTTGTCTGTAAGTCTGAGCAAAATGTTGATCTCGTACCCTGGTCAGCATCACTATATGAGGAATCTTCTGATGGGAACTCATAATTTGTGCAATACAGTACGATAAAATATCATACAAACATTCTCTCATTTCTACTATTTTATCAAAAGATCTAAAATGCAATAGATTCCCAATCATTATGTTTTACTAGCAATCTTTCATTAGCTCTTAAACATCACAAGTTTCCTCTATGTTTGTTTTATAAAACATACAATTCACATACAATATTGCACTTTGATTCACACGTAGGTATATATCTTGGAATAATTGTTTATATTTTTAATTGTCTTTTATATACTGTTTTATAATAATACATCAACTAATTTTTAGCCACATATTCGAGTCATCTTTTACTTATATTTGCATAGACCGGAGTGTTGGCTCAGTCAGTAGAGCGTCCGTCACACAACCGGGAGGTCGTGGGTTCGAACCCCGGACGCGTCATACCAAAAGACGTTTAAAGATGGGAGTTGTTGCTACCTTGTTTGGCGTTCAACAATAAGGGATAGAGCAACGTCGATCTGGCGCTGCTCAGAGGCTGCCGGGCTCACGATCAATTGGGCAAAAAGAATTTCCGTTTCGATTTAATAAAATTTGGAGTGGACTATTAGGCTATTATTATTATTATTATTATTAGACATAAACGTTTCATTTCCAATGAATGACATAAACGTTTCATTTCCAAAGCTTTTACGACATAATATTTGTTTATGTTTCTATTTATAGACTATTTTTTATATTGTAAGCATTGTGCAAATATTTTGTTTGCTCAGTAAAAATGAATGTGAACTGAATTATACAGCAGCAGAAGTGTGTAAATACACTTTTCAGGGGCGTACTGACAATGAATAATACGAACCAGGTTTTTGAAAAATATTAGCACAGCTCATAATCATAATCAACGAAGCATGAATTAACGTGGCCTTCGGGTTCTTATTATGTGGAAAAAAAGGGTGCGCTTTTTTTTAAACACAATATTTTTCTCTGTTCAATCCAGACATAATGTGTGGGAGAAGACCAGATGGTAAAAATAATGATGATGATGATGATGATGATTACATTCCTGAAGCTACAAAGCGCTGAATACTAATTTCATCTTGGCTCGAGCCATCAGAGAATAGTTCAATTTATTTTGATTGTGATAGACATATTGCAAAACACAGCGACATTTGGTGAAATAGAAGGATTGAGAGAGAGTTCGAAAAGGTCCCCGAGACCGGAAATGCCGGCCGGGGCGGGGCGTCGTAGCGACCCTTAAGAAAACGGTCAGAAGGCCTGCGAGACCGATTTTTGATCTCTCGTAGGCCGTCGGTTTTGGTCTCCGGGAAATCTGTAACATTCATGTGGTTTCACTCAACTCTGAAAACTAATCAACTTTTATTACCATGCGATAGATAAAGATCCATATTTTACCTTCTGTATATAAAGTAGATTTATAGTGTTCAATAATAAAAGAACAGTCTGAGCATTGTAGTAGATCCAGGGTTTGAGAAATTGACAGCAATTATTGACAGCTAGCGAGTTTTCGATTCTGTTGATCTGTCACGCATGCCCCGCGTCATTGTATTCAAATCATCACAAGCCTTGCATTTGGGGTTTACTGAACAATGAACCATCTTCCTCTCTCTCTCTCTCTCTCAATATGCGCCGCGGTGGCGTATACAACATGTATCCTAGACAAACTCATAAATAAGTTTTGTTATAGTCTCATGGCAACGTGATGCAGGGCACTTCATTATTTTAAGTGCAAGGCTGACTTCGAAATCGATGGTTGTTACCTAGTAATTGGTAAATCCATGACAACGACACGTACGATATGTACACCAAAGTATGAATGAGCTGGCATCGGCATTTTGATTGCGATCACCTGTATGGGAAATAATAGGAAATGTTGGAATACAAGAAATTAGCCAATGGCCAGATTTTGTACAAATGAAAGAGGAACCACAGGGCCAGGGATGAGGAAGAGGCGGCGGGGGTAAGCGAATTAGCCAGGAATATTAAGAACTTTCATGTTTCAACAACATTTGTATCTTCTTTTGTGTGTATGCAGGTTTGTAACATCATGGTAATTAAAATCCCATTATTATTGTAGTATGGCTTTTAATCATAATCTTCTTTCTATCTTTCCAACAGGCGAGGTTACAACTATACACTACAAAAAAAAACATACCAACCCCAAAGCATAAACGACATCGACCATGTGGAGCATAAGGCACAAGAATTGGTTCTTCACGGTGGCCTTTGGTTGTTGGTGCTTCCATCTCGTCAAGGCACAGCAGAGCAAGCATATTGACACACCGGAAGTGCTTCTCTGCGACGAGCTGTGCGAATTCAGTGCATGGGCAATGCATGCCTACTGCGGAGAGCGCATGCTCGGTGACCTTCCCCTCCAGTGCCGAGAGGTAAAGACCCTTGATGTGCGATTGAACGATATCCACAGTCTGAGGAGTGGTCGTTTGTCAGAGTTTGAGAATCTTAAGTACCTGTTCTTGGTCGGGAACAACATGTCAGAAGTTCAGGATGGTGCCTTTGAAGGGTGTGAAGGGATCGAGTTTCTGTCCTGGGGAGGAAATAATTTTACAAGGCTTACTCGAAGCAAGTTTGTTGGGTTGGCAAATTTGAAACACATGCTGATGGAAAATTCCAACATCAGAGAAATCGAGACGGAAGCTTTCATAGAAACGCCACTCCTGAAGACGTTAGATCTGTCTGGAAATACATTGATCTCACCGCCCTGCGATGTACTTCATCCGCAGAATGTGCTCACTGACTTGTCCCTATCTGATAACTTTATCTCGATCCTACCTGAACGGTGTTTCTCGAGGTTTCAGCATCTGAAACGTCTGAAATTTAGCAATAATCCAATACGTCTCATCACGAACCTGTCTGCGTTCGAAGGTCTACATTCTTTGGAAAAGTTGGAGATGGACAACACGTCGCTGACTTCGCTACCAGTCGGATCTTTCCGCCATATCCATACTGTGACTGAATTTGTACTCTCAAGAAACCTGATCGAATTCCTGAAGGAGCGAGACTTTGCCACATTGCCAGAAGTGGAGGTTCTGCGTCTTGACCACAACCATATCCACGCGATCCACTCGCAAACCTTCGTCGATCTTCAGAGATTACGGCTCCTCGTCATATCCAACAATAAAATCATGTCGATTGGACTCCACACTTTTATTCCTGTAGAGACTACTCTAGAAGAACTTTATCTGGATGGTAACAAGCTGCGATCCATCCAGAACATCAGTGACAGCAGCATCCGTTCCTTGAAAAAGCTATCACTGGCGAGGAACCCTCTGGAATGCAATTGCCATCTTTCCACGTTCTGCCATTCTACTTCCGGGATGATACAAGGTGGCGCCAACGTCACTTGCAGAATGTCTAATGGAGTCGAGGTAAACATCTTTGAAACAAACTTTACAGCCACCCCATGTCCTAAGGCAAAACCAGGACATGTCAATCCTCTGGAAAGGATAGGGGTCACCAACAAACCTATAGTGCCCTTTTATGGTGAAACAACGGAACAACTGGAAACCAACGAATTGTCGACATCACGACAGAATATTTTTTACGTCCTTATTTTTCTCATGGTCTTGACTGTAATGTTAGGGTGTGCCCTCCTCGTATGGTGGATCTTACGGGTGAAAATGAGGAAGAACAGAAAATATAGCAAGCCGGTTGAAGACAACTATAATGTAAAGGACACATCTGACAATTACGATGTCATTTAAATGTCCCTTGCTGGGAAACTTCAAAATGAGCTACAAGCCTTGCTTCTCAGTGGATCACTCCATTTCGAGTTTTTCCTTTTAAAAAACATACGTAATTTTACAGATAATGTACAGAATTTTCGTTTTGTAATTCTTGTAATGCATTACAAAATGCCCGCGTCACACTGTCCCGAAGTTGACACCAGATGGACACACGAATATGGAATTTTGAATTTCGCACGAAGATGGCCCCGAACTTGGTCAACAGCCAATCAACAGTCGAAGCAAGTTAGATGCCTAAAGAAGGTTACTCAGTGCACCCGAACCACACACGAATGCAACACGAAGATGTGAATTTGTATTAATTATTTTACCCGCAGGCCACACGGAGGCCACACGATGGATACACGACGTCGAATTGAGAGTACGATGCTTTCGAACTAGGTCACGAAGGCGTCACATAAACTCCCGATGGTATAAAACCTTCAACCGACGTTGGGAAATTCAATTGCTGATCGGAGATTAATGATGCTCTGAGCAGGCCTGGGCGTCGGAACGACTTTCAAAGTGGGGCGGGACCAACAAAAAAGGGGCACTTTCTGGAGAAAAAAATGGAACCTACAAAGGGAACTCTCAAAGCGAAAGTATAAACATTGTTAGACATTGGTATATACCCCTACATGGTGATAACATTAACTGGGATGCTTTCAATATTGTTTCTCTTTATACATCATACAAGATTTTGCTAAAATGAGAGAAAACGGTGCTAGGGTATTGACTTAAATGCTAGATGCACAATAAACGATAATCTGAAAGTTTGAGTGATAAAAGACCAGTATTAAAGATAATAATCAGGAAAAATAACTGCTCTGATCCAGTCCATAATTCTCCCAACTATATTATTACAATTTAATTACATTTCCGGTGAACGTAAATCGTCACGAAGCAATGAATTGGCTCTATATACCATTTCAGACATTCAAGCGTTAAAAGACTTTTAAAAGCCTGTCGTTTGTCTTGTTTTCATGGAAAACGGTAGGGAAAATTCAACAATGGTTGGGAGAATTCACTTTTAGAGGGTGTCGCACAGTCACGCCTTCAAAGAAAATAATGAATATCTTTGTGGTTTGATCATTTTTTTTCAGGATTTTTTTGCATGTTAGAGGGTAAGTACAGTAAAAGTATTACAATAAGTAACACTAAGTCACTTTAAGCATTATAATTTTCAGTTTGGTATGATGGTCTGAATATTCATTTGCGAGCGAGGAAAATTGTTAAGATTTGTGAGGTCGCAGTGCGAAAAATGTTATCTTATCTAGAGAACTAAACCTAATCCTGATGGGGTTAAACAAACATTTTCATAACGAAAGACTAAAAAGACCTTTGATAAGTAACATAATTATATCATCTATAAATGCGAGTGAGTGTAGCGAGCGAGCTTTAGGGGAAATTAGAGGCACGTTTAAAAAAGGAGGAAAGGGGCACACTTATCGACCTATTAGAAAAGAAAAGGAACACGTTTCAAATTACAAAGGGTTATTGTCATCGGCACTTTCTATACCTGAAAAGATGTACTCGCCAGTGATGAACAAGGACACTTATGAGAATGGTAAATAGGCATGATTCGACGGAAATGGGGCATCCTTCAGATTTGGGTAGGGGCATTTATAAGAGGTGAAAATGGGATAGGTCCCTTATTAGAAAGGAAAAGGGTCACGTATCATTGTTAAAAGGGAAATTATCAGACTGTACACGGGCACTTATCGCACATGAAAAGAGGCACTGACCAGATATGAAAAGGGGTATTTATGAGAATGAACAGAGACATTTTTCATAGGTGAAAAGGGTGCATTTGTGAGAAGAGGAAGGAGCTCTTTTTTAATGGGGGCACTTAACATAAGTAAAAAGGAGCACTTCTAAGATTGGAAAAGGGGCACATATGCAATTAAAAAGTGAAAAAAGTGCACTTATCGGAGTTAAAAATGGGTTGTTATTAAAAGGGTAATAGGTACTTTCTACAAAGGAAAATGGGCTCTTTTCAAAGTAAAAGGGGCACCTCTCAAATTTGAATGCGGTAATTATTAGAGGTGAAGAGGCACTTATCAAAAGTGAAAAGGAGCACTTCTCATACCTGAAAAGGGGCACTTACTAGAGATTCAAAAGGGCACTTATGAGAAGGAAAAATGGACACATATTTAAAAGGAAAATGGGAAATGGTCGAAAGAAAAGTTGCAAATGTCAAAATAAAAGGGGCACTTTTCAAGATAAAATGGGCCCTTTTCCTATGCAAAAAGGAGCACTTGCACTTTTCCTATATAAGAAGGAGCCTTTTGAGGGATACTTTTTTTTTTTTAAACAGGGGCACTGTGCCCCTCCCCCCCCCCCCCCCCCCCCCCCCCCCTCCGGGAGCGCTCCCTCTGGCTCTGAGGCTGGCTTTTTATATGTTTACGTTACCATGACACATGGGAAAACATTTACATTGATTGAATGTTTTATATCTCAAAATTGATTCTAGTTTATAATACATACATGTTCATGTATCTGTGTATATATCTGCATTGTATATTGTATTCGTTAGTTCGTTCATAAGTGAGCATATCTGAAATGTATCATGTATATTCTTAATCTAAAATTTCTTCAACTTGGTTGTATAGAACTGATATAAATTAATATGCGATATTTTGTGTGAAGAGCTCCTAACATCTTAGTCTTAAAAGTGGTACATGTAATATATGTTCATAATGTTCAATCTTCAATGTTTACGTAAAATGATTTGAATAAGAATATGCATGGACTTATCGTTATATATGGGTATATTCTAGTAATCTTCAAAGGGCTAAGCGGCCTATCACAAAGATGAGAGGTTGCTCTGATTACTTATATAGAATATCATTTATATAGTCACCAGCTATGTATGTGTGAGCGTGTGTTTTATCGGTTTTGTTTGTTTGTACGTTTGTGTTTTTTTATATATTGTTGTGTCTTTTTTAGGTATTGCAAAGTTTTGTATGCGTGGATAAGACGACGGCGTAACAGCACTGTGTCAAAAACCACTAAACGCGGCACATTCGAAATCAATATGAGATGTGGCAGCACTTCTAAAACAACTTTATATGGCAATATTCCATGGCATTGTCACTCAATGATACAACTCGCCTGGAACTTGAAAAATGGACCAAAAATTTGTATGGCACAAATTTATTTGTCCATGTTCTACTATTTTAGTTAACTCCGACACTGGGTCTAAGATTATGTTTAACAAAGGAAAGCGTATAGACTTCCGAATAACGTTCTTTGTTAAACCTCAATTTTTAAACAAACTTTTGAACAGAATTTGGAACAGAATTTGAAACAAAGTCTTGAACCCAGCTTTGGCTAAATTTTAGGAGAATACGGGCCAATTAAACTTGAAGTTGATAAAGGTGTTTATATATTTTGAACAATATTGGAACCTTTGATACTGATATTGAGGTAGTTGTTGTAAATATTATACCATTGTCTTTCATTGTATAAAAAAGTATTTTTGCATTTATAATGGTGTATAGCAAAACATCCTGCATTTCGTTTTTATATGTGTATCATATTGAATTTACTGAAATTACTCTAAAATAGCAAAATAAAAATGCGAAGCATTGAAAGCATCTGTTGTACTCCAGACTATGAATCATAGACATGTATTTCATTATTTGTACTTATGTTTGTAAATAATGAATATTCATTTTTGTAAAAGAAAGATATTACTTGATTTGTCTTTGATTATATGAATATTTTTTACAGTTATTATTTGTTTTGTTAGTAATAAAATTTGCTCTGCATACATTTATTTTGTAGATTTCTTTCATTAAATTGTGGCTGTGATTGTACTATATGATACTGACAGATGAATCAATTAATAAGTGAGAATGATTATGTACAGTATAAATAGAGAGAGAGAGAGAGAGAATTAGAGAGAATTGGCGCTTGGAATGAGATGAAAATGAGCATTCAGTAATTAATTGGCAAAAGTGTTTTAAATAAATCATGTTAGATGCAAAATATTGTCAGAGACACATAGTTTTTCCAAAGTACACTAGTATAGGAAAACAGTAATAATTTACCAGTAAATGAGCATAAAATTGCTTCACTTAATCTGGATTTATCAACATTCCTAGACCTACATACCAAAGCTTTTAAAAAAACTGATTTCCTTTGAAATAATTTATTGTTTCCTTTTTTTTGTGTCAAACTATCATCGAGCAAAAGAAAAAAATTCAAATCAGGCATACAATTAATTTTCCTACCAAACATTTTGTTTAAATGTCTTTTCTTATAAAACAATGACCCTTTGCAAATACACATGTAGTTCATTATCCATATTTACGTTTTAACTTAAAGTAATTTTCAGAATTTTGTAGATATTTACCAATCAGTAAATGAAATGGGCGCTAAACAATATAAGGTGCCTCAGAGCCACTGATTATGAGAGTTGTTCTTTGATCGCGTCTCAAATAAATTAGGCTAATTTCAGAGCATTTAAACAATTGGCACTATAGAGTAATTAATAATAATAAAAAGATATTTTTATACCGCAAATGTCATACTGCCTCTTATAGGTCTAAATTCCATTATATTCATGAATTAAATAAGTTCACTGATCACTGTATTCGAATTGATTTAATTTCTCGTCTCGTTTATGGCTCAAAAACTCACTGTTCACATATATATTCATATGTTCTACACAATAAAACTTTCCCAAATCACTTAATTCCAGACCTGTTCTTTCACATCACATAATCGCTTGACAAGAAATCATCTTTATCTTTAAGTTATCGGATATGAGATGGTTTAGCTAAAGAATTGTCACACAGATAATACCCTGCTTTTAGTGTTCTAGATATAGACGGTCAGCTCTCTGTCTTCGCCTACAAACCGACTATATCGAACTTGACGGTTCGAAATCGGGTCACGTCCTTTGGTCGTTCTCGTTCTACAATCATAAAAAGGCCTACTTGGATTTAATTGAGAGATGTCTATGGCTATCCACAGGCGAGGTTCTAGAAAAAAATTGGAGAAGGGGGCATTTTTGGTGGTGGGGAAGGGGAGGGGCTTGAAAATATTGGGGGATTGAGCCTGTAGCCCGCCCCCCCCCCCCTTTACTGGTGATCCGAAAGTGTTTTTTTTTGGCACGGGGTATTTGATTATCTTTAATTAATGGAACAATTTTATTCATGTAGACTGAACCAATATCGCTCAACTGATAGCCGGTCAGCTGAGCTGCGGTCATATATTGGAGTTCAGTCGCAAAAATGAAAAGCATAGCCACAATAATTCTATAGTTAGAAACAAAATATTAAAACAATTACTAGGCTAATAGGCAGTGGAAAGCTGAGGAGTAAACCATTTATATGATAGGAGTGGGTGGGGAATATGACTTTGTACACCCCTCCCCCAATTCCCCATTATTCTTCTCTGATGGCAAATTGTACACCTTTAAAGGATGTTGGCAAATTTAAATATGTATTTTTTTTTTTAGCTAGGGACTAGACTCTAGATCCTCTTGTCACTGCTGCACGGGAATTCCCTGATCACATTCACTATGGCCCGGAGGCGTCTGAACTCATCCATAATGGAAAATGCTCATGAATATAAAGTGTTTGGCTAAAAATTGTAGAAGGATACGTGCATTGATGGTAATCATATTATATTAATGAAATGACATGTGCATGAACTTGATGGATGGAAACCTTGCACTATACCTAGGTAGTTCGTAGAGTAGTGCAAAACATCATGGATCGACCTGGCAACCATGTAGAGGAAGGCAGAGGATTAAATTCGGTTGCATTAACTTGTAAGCGCAGCAATTTAATGAGGTAATTGTTTGATATCAAAATACAATACTCATTGTCGACTTCTTTTCTTTTTTTTTAAACATAGTATTACATGCTACGACCACTTGAAGGGGTTAAACATTTGTGCTCACTTCCAGCTTTACAACTGGATTTTGCGCACTTCACATTTTGCCTTTCGACTACCTTAACAAAAAAAGTACACTCTATATAGCCCTTACAGATTCGTGTTCCAGCAGTAGATTCGTCATTTATGATATACCCAACCCAATTCACTTACTATACTCCCATCTTAAAATCGATATGAATTTAATTATACAAATAAAGCTCTATTTATTGGTACACCGTGCCCTCCTGCGGCTGGATCTGCTTTCGCGGATGAATAATGATCAACCGTTAGTATAATAAAATTCTATCCGTGTTTTTCTTTGTCTCGCTCGATCCGCGCGTTTTAGGTTTTCCCCGGGGTATTCCAAAACTGCGATTGGCTTTACTTCCGCAAATACATAATTATGCTAAAATGCTACAATACCACTGTGTTTTCAGGATGACGTACATGTTCCTCAGCATTATGATTCCGATACTGTAAACAAGTTTATCAGAGCAGGATACCTCAGAGCTCAGACTCGTTTAGCTATATGATTGGTGAGTATTATATAAAATGTATTTGTGTCGATCTCGCTGGCTTGTCAGATGAGATCAGAGGCTTAAATGTCTATGGGGCGCCTCGATATGAATATTATTTTATTTTCCTGTATGCTTCACTAATGCAGTAAACATATTGTTGGCCTCTTTTCTATATAGGCAAATCTGTCACCAGTGGTCTATTTTTTGTTCCCATTTGGTAGCCTTTATTATAAAAATGTAATACGTATTCGGTTTACCTTTACCTTTACCTTTACCGCCAATACTGGAAGAATGCCGAGGCAGCAGTCGAGCTGTTCCAGGTCTGTCTTTTTGTCACTTCTGGTACTCTAGCTATACACTTCACATAATAAACAAAACACGGGGGGGGGCAGAGGGGCAAGACGTTAAATCTCGACTGCCCCATGCAGGAGTAATGGAATCAATATGAGTATCGAGAGACATAGCGCTGTTCCTTCCAACAACGATAAGCTTGGTTTTGAAGGCGTGGCGCCTCATCTACCTACACAGGCAGAAAGATCAAGTTATCAATCACTCTGTGACTGTCCTCCCTTACATTTGTCCTACACTTAGGCTTTGCGAGCTTGAACCTATGCTCTCGTTGTTGTGTCTGCTAGTTGGAAGAAGTGGTCAGGGTTGAGTCTGGCTTGCTCATAAATGATCTTGACACCTAAATCATGACTCCTCTCCTCCTGTTCTAAAGAGATGGTAAATTCAGGCATTTAAGCCTCCCTGTGTAAGGCTGGTGTTTCATTGTAGAGATCATCTTTGTTGCTCTCCTCTGGGAGTTCTGCACTCTCTCCTCGGCCTTTGCATCTGAAATGACTTGGTTACCAGATTACATTTCCGTACTAAAGGAGTGGTGCACTAGTCCTTTAAACAGCTTGTGAATGGTAGATGTGTCATGGCACTAAAAGCCTACACGTCTGATGCTGATCAGAACCTGAAACCTTGGTACTTGATACCTGTTTGTTCAAAGTACACGGTAATTATCGTATATATCCAAAACGAAATAACAAAAACAATGTATGCTGTCTGTAAGTCAGAGCAAAATATTGATCTCTGATCAGCATCACTTTGAGGAATCTTTTATTGGGAACTTAGAATTAGTGCAATACAGTACGATTGAAGATATATCATACATTTTCTCATTTCTACGACTTTACCAAGAGATCTGAAATACAATAGATTCCCAATCACTATGTTTTACGAGCAATCTATCATTAGCTCTTAAACATCACAAGTTTCCTCTTTGTATTACAAAACATAGAGTTTCTTCTGTCTCATTAACTTCACATACAATATTGCACCTTGATTCACACATAGTTATATATATTGGAATAATTATTTAAAACAAATTAATTGTCTTTATACAATGTTTTATAATAATTCATCAACTAATTTTTAGCCAAATATTCGAGTCATCTTTTACTTCTATTTGCATAGACATAACGTTTCATTTGTAAAGCTTTTGTTTATTTTTCTATTTTTAGACTATTTTTGTTATATTGTAAGCATTGTGCAAATTTATTTGCTTCATGTGAACATAATCATACCGCATCAGCTGTGTGTAAATACAATTTGCAGGGGCGTACTACTTTGACAATGAATAATATGAACCAGGTTTTTTTTTAATATTTGCACAGCTCATAATCATAATCGTTATTGTGAGGGTAAAGTACAATAACGCATGAATTAAAGTGGCCTTCGGGTTCTTATTATGTGGACAAAAAGGATGCGCTTTTTACACAATATATTTCTGTGTTCAATCCAGACATGATTGTGTGGGAAAAGACCAGATGGCAATAACAATTTTGTTGATGATGATGTAGATGATGATTACATTCCTGAAGATAGAAAGCGCTGAATACTTATTTTATCACGGCTCAAGCAATCAGAGAATAGTTCAATTTATTTTGATTGTGATAGACGTATTATTGCAAAATACAGCGTCGTTTGGTGAAAGCTAGAGAAGGATTGAGAGAGAGAGAGAGAGAGAGAAAGGGAGAGATAAAAAAAAAGAGTGAGAGAGAGAAAGAGAGAGAGAGAGAGAGGACAGAGAGAGAGAGGACAGCGAGGGATACAAAGAGATATATATATATATATATATATATATATAAAGTAACCAGATGGATGGCATAGAAATAGAAATAGACAATACCATTATCAAATGTGTCGATGCCGCTAGAAATCTTGGCGTGCAGCTAGATAAAAATCTTACAATGAAAGCTCAAGTCAATAATGTATGTAAAACCAGTTCGTTTGCTCTGCACAAAATTGGAAAAATCCCCCAATTCCTAACCAAAGAAGCTACTAAGCAGCTGGTTCATGCCCTGGTTATATCTCGCATAGATTTTTGCAATAGTTTACTATATTCTCTTCCTGATGTTCACACCAATAAATTACAAAGAATCCAAAACTCAGCAGCCAGACTAATCACTAGAAGAACTAAACGCAGAGAACATATAACACCCATACTTAAACAATTGCACTGGCTGCCAGTTAAGTCCCGTATTAATTATAAGATCCTTTTACTGACATATCAATGCCTAAACGGTACAGCCCCGTCTTACCTCCAAGATCTCATTCTACAATATACCCCTATCAGAAACTTAAGATCAAATAGTAAATCCCTCCTAGTAGCTCAAAGCACTCAAACAAAATATTATGGCACTCGCTCTTTCAGAAATCTTCGGCCGAATTGTGGAACAGCTTGCCTGATACTGTCAAACAGCAAAGCACAACAGAATCATTTAAAACTCTCTTGAAGACCTATCTTTTTGTAAATTGCTAATTTTGTTCCAGCTGTTTAGTGACTTCTTTGATTATAGTATCATGTACATATTTAATATTTAATTTATTTTTCATTTAATTGTCATGATTTTTCATGTTTAAATTTGTATTACCTGAATTTACAATGTATTACATGTAAGCTATGTTGGAATTGTGTATCAATATTTTTGTTTGTAATTAATTATTTTCATGTATCAGGCATAAATGTTCATTTCTATTCCTCCCTTTTCCTTCTTTTCTAAGCGCATAGGGACTTTCTTTATGTGAGTGATATGCGCTATACAAATAACGTTCATTATTATTATTATTATTATTAGAGAGAGAGACAGACAGACAGACAGAGAGATAGAGCTATTGTAATTGATATGAAAGAGCAGATTGTGTCAACACAAAAGTCATGTAAGGGTTTATCAAAAATTATTGTGCCTACGTCATTATTTCCACGTATGAAAGAGTCATTCGTGCCTGTACAAGAGAAGTTTTTTTTGTTGGGGGGGGGGGCTGTGGGGGTTGTTACAGAGGGCCGAAAGACACCTGGCAGCTACATAATGTTCCGTATTTAGCTAAGTTATAAAGATAGTTAGCACTTTGTTAAAACTCGTCTATCATCACAGTACATCCCACTCCACCGAGGGTCCACTAGACCAAGAGTTCGAAAAGGTCCTCGAGACCGAAATTGCCGGCCGGGGCGGGTCGTCGTAGCAACCCTCAAGAAAACGGTCAGAAGGCCTGCTAGACCGATTTTTGATCTCTCGTAGGCCGTTGGTTTCGGTCTCCGGGAAATCTGTAACATTCATGTGGCTTCACTCAACTCTGAAATCTAATCAACTTTTATTACCATGCGATAGATAAAGATCCATATTTTACCTTCTGTATATAAAGTAGATTTATGGTGATCAATAATAAAATAGCAGTCTGGGCATTGTAGTAGATCCAGGGTCTGAGTAATTGACAACAATTGACAGCTAGCGAGTTTTCGATTCTGTTGATCTGTCACGCATGTCCCGCGTCATTGTATTCAAATCATCGCAAGCCTTGCATCTCGGGTCTATAGAGTTCAAATATTACTGAACAGTGAACCATCTTCCTTTCTCTCTCTCTCTCTCTCTCTCTCAATATGCGCCACCGGGGCTACAACATGTATCCTAGACAAACTCATAAATAATTATTGTAATAGTCCCATGGCAACGTGATGCAGGGCACTTCATTATTTTAAGTGCAAAGCTGACTTCGAAATCGATGGTTGTTACCTAGTAATTGGTTAATCCAAGACGACGACACGTACGCTATGTACGCCAAAGAATGATTGAGATGACATCGGTTTTAATATCACCTATCAATGGCAAGGCATGTTGATTGCGATCACCTGTATGGGAAATGCTGTTAGGAAATGTTGGAATACAAGATATTATCCTATGAGCCAGCCTTTTTACAAATGAAAGAGGAAATACAGGGCCAGGGTGAGAAAGAGGCGGTGGAGATAAGCGAACTGGCGAGGAATATTAAGAACTTGCGTGTTTCGACAAAATATTTAGGATTGAATTTCAGTGAAACACACATTTTTCTGATCTTTTTTTGTATGTATCCAGGTTCGTAAAATCATGGTAAAAGCCCATTATTATTGTAGTATTGCTTCTAATCATAATTATATTTCTATCTTTTCAACAGGCGAGGTTACAACTATACACTACACAAAACATACCAACCCCAAAGCATAAACGACATCGACCATGTGGAGCATAAGATACAAGAATTTGTTCTTCACGATTGCCTTTGGCTGTTGGTGCTTCCATCTTGTCAAGGCACAGCAGAGCACGCATACTGACACACCGGAAGTGCTTCTCTGCGACGAGCTATGCGAATTCAGTGCATGGGCAATGCATGCCTACTGCGGAGAGCGCATGCTTGGTGACCTTCCCCTCCAGTGCCGAGAGGTAAAGACCCTTGATGTCCGGTTGAACGATATCCACAGTCTGAGGAGTGGTCGTTTGTCAGAGTTTGAGAATCTGAAGTACCTGTTCTTGGTCGGGAACAACATGTCAGAAGTTGAGGACGGCGCCTTTGAAGGATGTGAAGGGATCGAGTTTTTGTCCTGGGGAGGAAATAATTTTACAAGGCTTACTCGGAACAAGTTTGTTGGGTTAACAAATTTGAAACACATGCTGATGGAAAATTCCAACATCAGAGAAATCGAGACGGAAGCTTTCATAGAAACGCCACTCCTGAAGACGTTGGATCTGTCTGGAAATACTTTCATCTCACCGCCCTGCGATGTACTTCATCCGCAGAATGTGCTCACTGACTTGTCCCTGTCTGATAACTTTATCTCGATCCTACCTGAACAGTGTTTCTCGAGGTTTCAGCATCTGACGCGCTTGAAACTAAGCAATAATCCAATACGTATCATCACGAACCTGTCTGCGTTCGAAGGTCTACGTTCTTTGAAAAAGTTGGAGATTGACAACACGTCGCTGACAGCGTTAACAAACGGATCTTTCCGCCATATCCATACTGTGACTGAATTCGTACTCTCAAGAAACCTGATCAAAGTCCTGGAAGAGCGAGACTTTGCCACATTGTCCGAAGTGGAGATACTGCGCCTTGACCACAATCAGATCCACGCGATCCACCAGCGAACCTTCGTCGATCTTCAGAGCTTACGGCTGCTCGTCCTATCCAACAATAATATCATGACGATTGGACTCCACACTTTTATTCCTGTAGAGACTACTTTAGAAGAACTGTATCTTGATAGTAACGAGCTACGATCCATCCATAACATCAGCGCTAGCAGCATCCGCTCCTTAAAGAACCTATCACTGGCGAGGAATCCTCTGGAATGCCATTGCCATCTTTCCACGTTCCGCCATTCTACTTCCGGGATGGAACAAGGTGGTGCCAGTGTCACTTGTAGATTGGCTAATGAACTCGAGGTAAACATCTTTGAAACACGCTTAACAGCCACCCCATGTCCTAAGCCAAATCCGGGACATGTCAATCCTCTGGCAAGGATAGATCCCACCAAAAAACCTGTCGTGCCCAAGAATGGTGAAACAACGGAACAGCTGGAAACCAACGAATCGTCGATGTTACAACAGCATATTTTCTACGTTCTTGTTGCTCTCATGGTCTTGACTGCATTATTGGGATGTGCCCTCCTGGCTTGGTGGATTATGATGATAAAAATAAGGAAGGAAAACAAAGACAACAGTAAATCGAGTGAGGAAATCAACTATGTAAAGGTTCCTTGTCAAACGGTGTAAGAACTATAAGCCTGAAGCATTTTAAGTATACATAGTTATACTTTGAGATTTAAAGCATTTTTAATGGTAAATTTATGTAATGTCCTACATCGATGAAAATGGCGTTTCTTCAAACGTTAGATGGATAAGTATTCATTACTGATTCTTATTCAGATGTATTTACATTTTTAGTGCACGGTGTATTCATTAGTTCTTTTATAAGTGAATTTTATCTAAAAATGGATTATATTTCTTCATCGTTGTTCATAGCTAGAATAAAACAATGCATACGGTATTTTTTTTTTATATAGAACCCTGAACAGTACATAATTATACGTCTTAAAGTTGTATACATTTCTAAGTATAAACGTGGTACCTATGCAAAACGATAAGTTAATACAGATTCCTCCTCAAATTATTTTTGTGAAAACTATATCGTCTGCAATGGATATGGAAAGAGTCTGTACTTTACAAATTCTGTAATGTAAGGTATTGGTTTTTAGTATGGGGCAATTCGTGGAAAGTACAACCTGTGCGCTTAAAAAAGCCTGTATAAATGTGATTGCAGTGACGTACTTCGTCCTTGCCTTGTTTTCGTTCACATTCTGCCCAATTAATTATTGCAATGACAAAATCGTCATATTATTCGTTTTCTCTTCTGGATTACCCATTCGTTTTGCACGTAGTGCTTGTTATTCCTAGTTAAGTCCTTTTCTCATGTCCGTTTCCTTTCAAATTCCGTAGGCATAGTCTCCAGTATTCTTCGATTTTCGAAATCACTCATGCATAACCGTCCAGGCGCCATTTTGTCCATTTCTGATCCGTTTTAAGGCCTTTCTTTCTTCCTACCTATCTCCACTATCACAGAAGCTACATACTTCTTACAAATTGTTCTAGGTAGTCCGAGAGAGGTTCTTCCGTTTAACACGTAGAAACACGTGTGTCCTTGCACGCATATCGTTGTGGCACGATGCCTGTTGGTCACAAAACTGAAAGCTCATGGTGATGTACAACACCTGTCATTAGGGAAACACCCGGAATGATTTCAAATTCCCCAAGAGAGCCTACTAAAGTGCGTTTTTAAACCCGATTTTTGAAATAAATCCAAATCATAGACTAGAAAATCTAGACCAAATATTTTCCTGGCACAAACTCATTGGTCCGTATTCTGCAAAGTGAGTTAAACATGACCCTAGGTTTAAGATTACATTTAACAAAGAAAAACTTAAGATTTCAGAATAACTTTCTTTATTAAATCTCAATTTTAAACAAAATTTGAACAGAATTAGGAACAAAGTCGTGAGCCCACTAAATATGATTATATTATCTTTAACAATATTTGAGCCTTTGATACTGATATTGATGTAATTGTTGTCCATACTATACTGTTGTCTTTTATTGTTTAAACAAGTATTTTTGCATTTACAATGTCAATTATCATAAGTATAGCCTGCATGTTGTATAGCAAAATAAAAATGCCGCGAAGCATTAAAAGTGTCTGTTTTACCCATTTTCTTTGTGCTAAACTATCATCCAACATTAAAAACAAATTGAAGTTTAATAAAATGTCAATCAACAAGTTCTTTGGTATTATTTGCAGTTTCCTCAATAATTCTATTGATTAACTTTGTATAATTCAGGTATATTTTGTAGACATGTTTTATGTGTGTTCTCTGTTTTCTATATTGTACATAATCTGTATTTTATACTTTCATACAATGTGTATTTTTCTGGATTCGAATTGAATTAAAACTTGAAGCTTGAAGCTTGAAATCAATGTCTTTCATTGTTTAAAAAACTATTTTTGCAGTGTCAATGTCAATTATCAAAATTATGGCCTTCATGTTGTTTATCAATACAGAAATGCGAAGCATTAAAAGTATATTTTGCCATTTTTCTTTGTGCCATACTATCATCCAACATTGAAAACAAATTCAAGTCAGGCATATCTTGATTTTCCCATCAACGATTTTTAAATTTAATTTTATACCTTATCTTTAAAAATAAAGCCCCTTTTCAAATAGTTTATCATTTATATTCACGTTTCAACTTAAAGAGTTAGACCTATTCAAATAATGTTCAGAGTTTAATACATATTTACCTATTAGTAAATGAGACGGACGCAACAATATATAAAGAGCTTCGAAGCCACCTATTAATAGATTTTGGCCAACCAGGTGAATAGATGGCCCTGGAGGAGCTCAGGAATCTGAAGGGGTTGTCTTTTCTCATATCGCAAGTAGACACATACACAAGTTTAATTTTTAGTATTGTACAGTGCGACCCAGAAAAAACGAAACCGAGAATTATCGATGTTTTATCATAACTTAATCACATTTATAATTAATAAATGACACATATTTGTAAAGCTTAGATCCTCCTCGTGCATTTGATCCAACTCATAATGATGCATGTTCCACGTATAGATTAAAAGCAATTTGAAGGAAGAAAACCAAAAAGTCATTTGGCGGGCGGTATCTAAATTTCGAAGAAAAATTCACATTTCTAGAAAGTTCAGGTTCTGCCCTTTCATATGACACCTCAATCAGGAAAAATGAGCAAGGAATAACAAAGTTCTGTTTGTTTAAAGTGATGCTTGCATTTCCATAATTTGATTTTTACAAAGTTCGTTTTCACTGGCTGCCTTCCGTAGAAACAAGCAGAATTGACAAAAGACTTAACTCCGTTTCATTGACAATCAGCCATGCATGAAGTCTTTCGTCTATGTCTGATCGTCAACGAAACGGAGTTAAGTCCTATTGTTAATTCCGTTTGTTGATACGGCAGGCAGCCAGTGAAAACGAATTCGTTAAAATTATGGAAATGCAAGCATCACTTGATTGTTATCATTATTCGCTATAATCTGTTTAATTATCTAGTAGTGTTCTTGCTCAAATATCAGTTTCAGTTTCAGTTTCATTTATATCTCCTCAGGAGATCAAAAGATAAAAATACATATATATATATTTATATTAGATAGCTTAGACAGATACCGAGATGTGATTGGTCCAGAGCTCGTCACGTGATATCAATTGCGAGGATCCAAATTGTTATATTTTCCTGGCCGGTCACTTTTCAGTGTTATATTTTACCGGCTGGTGAAATGAATATATTTTTAATCAATGCATGTCGCCCTCTTGAGGACTGTATGTCACCAACTACATACATTACACCATTATCGAGGGCCATTTTATTTTTTCAATATTTTTTTTTCATGAATTTTTTTTTTTCCCAAGAAATTTTTTTTTCCACATTTTTTTTTTCCCCAAAAAATGCTTTTTTGGGTAAATTTTTTTTTTTAATAATTTTTTTTTGCTAATGCTAATTTTTTTTTTTTTTTTTTTTTTTAACCCCAATTTTTTTTTTTTTTTTTTAAAGGTGATCTCGACAAATTATTTTTCCGTAATTTTGATTGTCTCCGAAAAAAAAAAAAAAAAAAATTCGGGCTAAAAAAAATATGGACCCCCCCCCCCCCCCCCCCCCACAAAAAAAAAAAACCCAAGGCTATCTAACAGTTATTGACTGGCAGGGGGTATATAACATTCTTTGGACCTGAAGGGAGTTATATTTTCCCTCGTGACCATATTTTCCCTCAGCGCTGCGCGCTTCGGGAAAATATAACCACTTGGGAAATATAACTCCCTTCAGCGGTCCAAATAATGTTATATTACACCCCCTGCCAGTCAATAACTGTATAATATATCCCCCCCCCCCCCCCCCCCCCACTCCGAGAACGGACGGACTCCATGCGTGTTACCAAAATGTCCGGTAAAGGGTACTTTTCGTGCGACAAAGTCCGGCCCGAGAATTGTAAAAAAAGGGGGTGATTTAACTTTTCACCCGGAGATTTCTTTAAAAAGGGGGTGTTTTTTCTTTTTTTCTCTCATCTCTTTGGACTCCTGAGAAATTATTCCAAATTTAGGGGGGTACATTGAGCATTTTTCATGATTTAGGGAGGTCTCCAAGGCAGGAAAAGCCCGCGAAAGGGGGGTTCGGAAATGTTGGCAGTCCTCAGATAGGGGGTGCTTTCAAAAAGAGGGAACGAGCATATGCGTACCCTAAATTACACTGAGTGGGGGGGGGGGGGATGACAATACATAATATGAATTATAAAAAGAGAGGAAGGCAGTGGCCACAAAGGAAACAAACCTTGTCAGAGGCCAACCCTCTAAGAAAACAATATATACAATATGTAACATAAAACACATAAAAAGGAACACCAAAAAAGATAAGAAATGAAGTAACTAACCCAATAAACAAACTAACAAAAGAACCTAATAGTACTGAATCTAATATTTAGATATTAAAAATGCTTTATATTTCCTTCTAAAAATAGCTACTGACGCGCTATTCTGAATGTGCGCTATTAAAAGAAGCCACCATTATTATTATCAAACTGGAGAATTTTCTAGCATGGCAAAAGCATTGCATTTTTACTATCTTCTGTTATTTTAATCGTAGAAGCCTGAAGATTTTTTTTGAGAATTTCAACTGTTGTCTTTGCAGAAAAGATTTCGAATTTTCTTTAATGGGTCTCACTGAAACCTGGCCCAGGGAGAATGATAGTATATTTATCCATTCCAAATTATACATTTCTTTCGCAAAGCCGTAAAGGTAAACGTGGCGGACGGTTTGGCTTTTGTATCAAGGATAATAGGCTACAGGATTTGGAAGTATTTAATGATGATATTGAATCTGTTTATTGACGTGTTTTGTAATACTAAAAAGATCACAATTATAGCTGTCATAATAGGCCACCAAGTCAACCTATCATAAATGTTATCAACTCGCTAGAAATCTTCCTAGAGACTTTTATAAACGAAAGGAAGGATTGTTTCTTTTTACTCGCAGATTTTAACATTGATTTGTTATGCCGAACCACTTGTCATACCGGTTCGTACCAGTTTTGCAGATACTTTAATGAATCTTTCAATTCAATTGAATTGAATTAAAATGTTTCTACTTCTTTATATGATAGTTCCTTGTCTGTCTAACAATAGATACGGTACTGTGCGTGGTTTGAGGAAAGATGGGACTTCCCCTTTACAGTCCCGTTTGTGTGACAGGTGTATAATGGTTTGATAATATTCAACTTTGTTTTCGAGGTGGGGAAAACAAAATGTTAATTGTGCTTGTAAATAAAGGATGAGACAAAAAAGGGGAGATTGACGACAGAAATTGAGAAGTTGACATGAATCTGTAGCACAGCCTTAGGATTGAAACACATTCACTTTTCAAAGATTTCGGGGCTTGATGCACATTTTCAGCAACAGTCCGTCTACACTTGAATGATAAGGTAAGTTCCGGATCGTAAGATCATATCAACTGTTAAGACTTTAATTGTTTGTATGCTTTGTGCGCCTATATAGGGCCTACATGTAATCACGTTATAAGGGTTAAATCAAACGTGGAGCACTAGTTACGTTCAGAAATAATGATGATATTGATTAACTGGGTGAATATCAATTTCGATGACAAAAAAGTCCTGAAAAGGTCAGACTAAACGTTTGATTTTACAAATTCAGGTTGTTTAACAACAAACTATATCGGAGATAGGTTCCATCATTGTATCCGAAAATAGCCTAAATAGAAATAGGAAGTACTATACATATATTATGTTGAGACATATCTGCCTCACGGGCTTTTATTGTGTTTTATGAGAGTCAGCTAAAAGTTTGTTTTTAAACACTAACATGATAAATTTGATGGAGTTCAGAGGAAAGCCCCCGTGCATTACCGCAATTTACACGATGAGCTCATTTTTTCATCAATAAGCCTGGATAACAATAATTATTGTATTGATTTCGAGTATAGTGCACATTTGTTTGTTCGCTGTTCGTGTTTGCGGCGGGGCGTAAAAAACACATTTGAGACTACAAATCTCCCTTTTTCATGAAATAGTTACGATGGATCTGACGTAAGCATTTATATATATATATATTTTTTCTAAATGAAAATACACATCTAAATGGTTGAAGGTGTTCATCTTACTCGTAAGAGCTATGACACTGGAACCCCCATTACCTACCACAAAGATATCCCAGGTTTCTTGTTTTCTTTTCATGGAAATGTGTACACGGAATCTAGAAAGGTTTGCTCAGCGGTTTTGTATGAAGTGTTTTTTTAAATAAATAATAACGATGCCAAGTAGTTACATCTCAGTTGATATTTTGACACTTTCGGGCTAATTACTAAAACCTTCAAACATATAAGTTTGTAAGTTGAAAGGACAATCTTAAGGTGCCTCGTAAAATAAATGTAGGCCTACATCTATTCGTAAGATGCTGCATCAATTGGGGAAAATCCCATTCTGGTTACGGAACTTTGTGCATTAAAATCAAAACGGACGGGGTTTTGCAAATTTGCAATAAAAAAAGAAAATCATAAAGGGAATAGGATGTTGATGCATGTCTCCATCAGGATGTAGACTGATAAGCTCTAAACTTTAGTTTTGTTTCCATGCGGAGAGTTCGGTCACTTGAGCTAGGGAAAATTGGCATACAGTTCTATTTTAGAATGTGATGTAGTAGGTGATTGGAGTCTTAGATGCTGAGGGTATATATACATATATATATATATATATATATATATATATATATATATTATTTTCTTTATCTTAAGAATATTATATAGTAGGATATGACATACTTGCTGTTGAAGTCTAAACTGCGAATGGTATATAATTATTATCTTCTCTTTTTATTTAAAAAGATAATTATCTTAGGTCTACTGCTACAGTGAATGCATATACAATCGCAGATGTTAAAGCTTATTAGAAGTATTATATTGAAATATTATACATGCACAATCTCCTTTATATTTTGCCTTTGCATATATCCATTGAAGCAGCATTACATCCGTTACAGACTGGTTATTTTGTCATTATGATCGTTACGAAAACACTGCTCTTCATCGTGTTTCTTTGAAGCTAAGAACCTACCTTGCAAATTATCGTTCAAGTCATTACCCATGCCGATATCATGCATGGATTCCTAAAGATACCGATAAGTGGCAATTGTTACACGTATAATACGTTAAGCTCTTTATTTGTATTTCCTTATAGATTCCACTTCAAGATGTGGACCCTTTATCTTCCAAGAACCCTATTGGCTGTTGCATTCGGATGCTGGTGTTTCCATCTTTCACGAGCGTGTACCACGACATCTCGATGCAGCGAGATCTGTGAGTACAGCGACTGGGCCAAGCATGCAGCCTGCGGGCGACGCTATCTTGAAGACATCCCTCAGGTGTGCTGTGGGGTCAAGTCCTTAGATCTACGACAGAATGACGTCCGGACTCTGCGAAAGGGAGCACTGAAAACCTTCACCAACCTCAAGTACATTTACCTGGACAGGAACAACATGTCTGTGGTCCGGAAGGGAGCGTTTCACGGATGCTCCAAACTGGAGCATCTATCGATGGGAGAGAATAACTTCCGGGGTCTCACAAGACGCATGCTAGAAGGGTTGGAGAAGGTCAAATACCTTATTATAAGCCGAGGAAAGTTAAAGCGCATAGATCGAGGCACATTCCTAGACACTCCATCGCTCTTAACGCTTGACCTACAAGGAAACCAACTTTTGTCACCGCCATGTGAAGCCCTTCCTGCAGGAAACATCCTCAAGACGCTTTTCCTTTCTCGCAACCACATTTCAGTCTTTCCCAGATTGTGCTTCCAAAATTTTACCGAACTCAAACGTCTGCATTTGAATGATAATCCAATCGGCGACATTACCAACATCAATGTCTTCCAGGGATTAGAATCCTTGGAGGAACTCAGTCTGAAGAAAGTTTCTCTCTCTGCGGTTCCTGTTGCCTTGTTCCGTGATGTCAACACGTTGACCACACTCATCATGTCACACAACTTGATCGAATCCCTGCACGAGCGTGACTTCATGGGCTTGCCGTACCTAACCACTCTCAACTTGGAATCCAACCGAATCGTCACTGTCCACGAGAAGGCCTTCAGTGGCCTGGACTTCCTTAAGTTCCTGGTCCTCTCGAACAACCGTATCGTATCCATCGGCCAGGGTGCACTTCGGCCAGTCGAAGGAACACTTCACGACCTTCACCTCCATGGCAATACACTTCCTGAGATCCAAAACATCAGTTCAAGCTTTGCGTCATTGGAGCGCATCTTTATTGCAGATAACCCTCTGATCTGTACCTGTCAACTCGCACCACTTCGTCAATGGCTCCAACTGAACAGAGATGTCCTGAGTTCAACAGAAGGAAATGCAACATGCACAATACCTGACACTGATCAAAACACTCCTGTTCTTGAATCTAACCAGACATACCCGTGTTTACAAACTACCCCAGGGACATTTTTACTGCCTGAAGAAGAAAGAAGCACGGTTGATTTTGAGGCATCGACTTATGGCAGTTTTCCTAATAGCACCGGGGATGTTCCAGATTCAGACCTGCCTCGAATGTTCCTGGTTACATCAAGCACCATTTTCGTTGTGCTGGTTATGTTCATGGTAGTCTTATTAATAGTTTGTTTCAAAGCGCGTCGGCGAACAAAACTAGAAAAGGACAGAGAATCGGATAGCATCTATGCCACTGTGGATGATAACTCCGTTGAAGAAATCCCACCACGTCTGTACAATTTAAGAATTTCCTACAACCCTGTCTATTCAACTCGCATTCGAAATCAAAATGGCCGAAGTTGTAGCACTTCGTGTTCTTTGTGTAATGGCTCTAGGGGACTGTCTTCTCTTTCTCCGTTTCCTCCAATTCCAAACTCTCAAAGAAATCCAACAGTTCCAAGTGGTTCCTGCAGAAACAAAGAACACACCAACTATGACAACCCGACCAATCAAAGACTGGCAATTGCCTCCCATAGTCAGTGTGGTCATGGGACAGACGAATCAAGGAATATTTGGGCAGAAAGTGTTTCTAATGCAGATAATGATGAATACCTGATTAAAAACGATGTCTTAATATCATCAAACGAAGTCACAACTAAAAGCAAGGGCCCTAACCAAGTAAGCTTCAGTGGTGACTCTGGTACGAATGGAATAAATGCCAGGAAGAACATTCGCGGTGGGGAGGATGGTTTTACACCGAAGGGCGAAAAATCGGCAGATGGCGTTGATGATGGAGGTTATTTGGTCGCAGAGACCTCATTCCAAGTGCCTTTATTTGATCATAGTCGTGGCTTGTCGCATGATGATGCGATAAACAATTCTCGTGAGAAAATTCTGGCTGGACCAGTAAATACCATATGGACCCGGGTGTCGACGAAACGGAGCATCAAGAGTGATCACAGAAACTATTTACAACAGGTATTGCTTTTTCAATATTTTTTTTTATTTGTTATCCTCTTACCAAGGTGTTTCATTTCACAAGATCATCATTATATTACATCAATTTGCATTGTCAACATAATATAAGATAATATTTCAATATAGCATTGTTTATCACATATGCGAAAATAACCATTACCATTAAAGAAATTTTATGGGATATACAATATCGTTTTAAGATCGCCCTAGGCAAATTTCGAAAATCTTTGCGATTGTGTTAGTTATTCTCAAAATCAATTGTTCTGTACGAATAATCTTTCTTTATGATTTTCAGAACAAATTTAACGGAAGGAGCTCGGTCCAAGAAGAATTGTTTTGTACAACTCACAGGCAACTGATTACCACTGTCTAGACAAGAAGGGGATTACTCTCGTTTGGCCATACGCATCATTAGTCCTACATTGGGAAAGTAGTCCTGCGTCCTATTGATCCGACGCTGGGAGGAAACTAGATGGACCAAGGGTATACACTTAACCGATACCTGGCTCTAGTCTGTGGTGTATTAGTGAAGGCTCTTGACTACCAGATCCCTGGTTCGATCCTTGCTTGGTGCTAATATTCTTGGACAATGCATTTCGCACGCATTTGTCTTCTCTTCCCAAGTGTATACTATAAAAGGGGTACTTAGTGATGTTGGGGTAATGATAACTGTAGGGCTTGCAGGGGGAGCGAATCTAATACTGATTTAGCTATCCTAAAAATAAGACTTAATTATCGATTAAGCTCCAAGTCTATAACCCTAACCTTATTTTTTTCTAACCCTGGCCTAAACCCCAACTATCGGTTAGCATCTACACGGTCAATGGCGGCGTACGTAAGACCAGAGGTGAGCGACCATTTTATCAACGGTTATTACAAGCTGTTCTCTCTCTCTCTCTCTCTCTCTCTCTCTCTCAAATCACCTAACTTTTCCCTTTTACCAATTAAGTCATAGTTTCAGTGATTGAGCAGTGCTGAAAAAATGGATGAGACAGAACCAGGTATCGTTATCTAATAAAAGTCCCCTCCCCACCATAAAAGAGAGAGAGAGAGAGAGAGGGAGAGAGAGGGGGGGGGGGTAGAGAATAACTGGAAGAGATAGTTGTTGTTTTGGGTTTGATTTTGTCGTTCAGTCAAATTTGACTATTTACACCTGGTTATCTGGTTCGTTATGGTTAAAGAGAAAGATACAGAGAGAGAGAGAAAGAGAGAGAGAGAGAGAGAGAGAGCGAGAGAGAGAGAGAGAGAGAGAGAGAAGGATATAGACTATAGAGAGAGAGGGGGGAGGAGAGAGAAGGGCGGTCGATAGTAACGTTCTTTGGGCCTTTTTATAATGGAAAAAAAATCCGTCACTTTATGAGGGACATCAATTAATACGATTATTTTATTAACAAACCTATTGAACAAAGTGCATATTGATCTTCATGCATTTAATTGCACCTCGTTTACAATATATAAATTTAGTCGAAAATATGTCGTTTAATTTCGATTTATTTAACACCTTAATGACCCATCGTGTGCAAACGACAATAATTGTGTCATTTTAGATTCAGGGGTTTTCCCTTTTTTTCTCGTTTTCTTTTCTTTATACCTCCTGGTGTACATTACAACAAAATACTGTTGTTATCTCGTCTCTCTTGACAAATCAACCGAAAACATCCAATATTGATAGAACTGCGAAGGTATATTGACGTAATCCATTATGTTTTATGTTCATTTTTAAAAATCTATCTCTCTTCCCGGACTTATAGTCCCTTTTGTATGTATCCTTTGCATTTACTATTCGCCCTATTAAAGATAATCAATGAATTCGAGGGTAAATGAATGAAGAAAAAAACAGTATTTATATAACCTGTTTTGAATAAAGAGAACGGGGAAAACATCATTTCAATTGTCCAACGTTTCCTCTTTAGTCGATATGTTTTGTTTCGATATTTGTTTTCTTCTCACGAACTACTTGGGGGATTTTTTGATAATTATTATGTCGACGTTCTGCTTCCATATGGAGTTGCATTCATTCCGTGCATGCCAAAATCTTTATGTATTTTGCTAAAATATACGAGACTAACCCTTGGGCTCCCCATCATTGTCGCCCTTCCTTTTCTCTCTTTTTCCCTATCTCCCCCTCCATCTCTCTCTCTCCTCTCTCTATCTCTCTCGTTTTCTCTCTCTCTCTCTCTCTCTCTGTCAATTTTGTTCTCGTTATCTTTTTTTCTCTTTCTTTAGTTTAGCAGCATTTGAATCAAAGATTGCTTCATACCAGTACATATTTTGCATATGAGACAAGGGATATTTTTATTTTTATCTCTGTCATCTCCTCTTTCCTTTTTCAAATTCTGCTTAATATTTAGTTTCGATATTAGTGCAAATCTACGTAAATACGCGAATGGTATTATACAGAGTTGCGATTAGTTCAAATCAATCGTAACTTTACTTGAAGTTAATCGCAATTGTGTACTTACGAGATATGAGTTTCGATCAATTCCAAGTTGATTCGAATAAATCGCAATTTTTATAAGACAAGGCCTTAGTTGTGCAAGGCATATGGATATCGTTTGTAAAGATGGTGAAAATGCTTGAAGAGTAGGCCTAAATCAAAATTCAGTGTCACGTCATTTTCTTTCCCTTTTTCAGCCAATAGTGGTGTGTAGGGAAAGGAGAGTTTTTCTAAATTTTGTGCAGAAACTTTTTAAAAAAGATTTATAAAGATCGTTTGCTTGAAGCAAACTGTTTTTTCATTGTTTTTAGAGTATATAATGAACGTTTATTGCGTACACGAAAGGTCCCACAGAAGAAATGCTGTGGATAAATGTGATTCACTTACATCAACAGATAAAACACTTGTTGACCCGCACGATATATATAAATACATATGTTTTGTTTTTTAATTTAAAGATGATTTAATTTTATACACAGACCATTTTTGTTGTTGCTTTGTTGTTGTTTCGTTCAGTTGTGTTTCGCTTTTTCCATGTACACAGATAGCATATTATTGATTGCCAAACAAATATAACCAGATGATTTGGGTTTCTCCCAGAATAAAATCAGTTAAAAATAAAAGTGACTGTGTTATGTTAGCTTCATTGTGGTACTTGGAAATATTTTGTTAGGTGTTTTTAAATTTATAATTTTATTCATGTCTTCTTTAAAAAGCAGGGTAGGCCATTCAGTTTAAAAAAAAACTGCTCTACGATGACACCCTGCTGCAACATACAAAATACATGAACTAAAAAAAAATATTTAAAAAAAGTTTTACATGAAATACAAGAAAATATCAAGGTACAATATTAAGTGACATATACAAACAAGAAAATTGCGAGGGTTACAAAAGTAAGGAAAAAACTGAACACGTAATGAAGGATTACAACCATGTGTTTATAAAACATTTATAACTACTTTACATTTCTGTTTTAAAGGTTGAAAGAGAGGGGCTTGTCTTAACATCTTTTTGGGAGCTTATGGTACAAAGAGGGAGCTATGTAAGAGAACAACCGTTTTTGTAATCTGTTTTTGGTTGGGGAGTCAATAGAGGACAGTATAAAGAATAGCGGGTAGAGAGTAGTGGGTTCAATGGCGTATGGTGGCCAAAGATTCCATGTACATGTACCATGAAATTGTTTCGTTAAGACTGTATATGCATGGACCTATTACGGATGGACATTCATCGTTTTCTTAACGAATTCATTGTGATTGTCGTCTCAATAACATTCCGTACATGTTTCTTCCCTTTGGTCTCATCATGGTCGCCGGCAAAAAGCCGGGACAGAATCAAGATAGCGATTTTACAAATGTTAGTCTACATGCACAGAAGATAATTACTCGCCTAAATCATGGAAAATAGATGTGCAGTTCTGGCTTATAATCGGAAATTGTTGTTCCGTGTACTGTACAAGTATTTTATTTTGAAAAACATGTTGATATTACCAGATAGAAGTTATTTTTGGATTTTTTGGTTGTGATTTAAAATCCCGTTTCCCCCTATTTCCTCATAACATTCCAGAGTTACAACGCACAGGGCTAATACAGATCATGGCCTTCTAATTGTTTTATAAGGTCATAGGTGTGTGCAAAAGTTTGCGAATCAGTAATAATACATTTCATATCACCAAAATCGTCTGCTTTTCAACTTTGCTGCTCCCCATTAAGGATGCTTTTATTTAAGACACACTCTTACAGAGCACACCATCCAAACAAAACCCAAAAGAGGGAAACTGCTCCTTTGCTGTCAATGACCGAAAATGCTTACGCAGTCGTTATTGTTAAAACAGCTGAATATTCTCATTAAGATGCACATAATCAGAAGGCGGCGACTATGATTGGATCAAAGAAAGAATCACGTTGAATGTCCATCCGTATTAAGTCCATGGTTATACACTGCCTTTTTGTAATATTTTAGACAAGTGGTAAAATTGATATTGGTCGAAAATTGCCAAGTTCCAATGTCCCCCCCCCCCCCCCCCCTTTATGAATAGGAATGATTCGTGCTGTCATAAAATCTGCAAGAATTAATAAATATGCTATAAGGGGCCTGCTATATAATCTACTGCTTACTTCAAAAGCTTTGGATGAATAGAAATATCAATTGAATAGTGGGCCCATCATCCACGTCATAGTGGTCTCGTAAGTCTTGGGTAAAACCCAAGCAAATTTGTTCCGTATGTTATGGACCATCTCCCAAATTCTTGTTTTAATCCGATAAATCCATTAACATTGGATACGACCAAATATTGAGTAGGATTATACTTTTGAAGTGAGTTCGTGTACAAAATATTATCAGACTCAGGAACGTACAGGACACCACATGAACAAATATTTAAAAACTTGCCCTTTTAATATCTCTCTTCCTCCTCTTCTTGTTTACTCTCTTTGTTTCTCTCATTGGTTCTTTCTCTTATAATTCTATGTTTATTTCCCTCTTTTATTCTTCCTCTCTCTCTCTCTCTCCCATTCTTCTCTTTCTCTCATACTACTTTTCTCTTTATAAATCGGTATATTTATTCAATCCTCTTTACTTAGTAACCCTTCATATCTCACACTCTGGAATTAGTCCCAACTCAACATTCATGCAAACAGACCAAAACAACCAAACAAACATCAATTTGAACAGTAAATTACACAACGGACAAATCTACAGCAGTACAACATAAAGTTATAGTAATTTAATTTATAATGGACAAAAAGTTGTGACTCGCAATTATCTAATCTCTATTTTCAATTTAAGAAAGAAAAAAAGAAGATCCCAACCACCACAAATATATTCTCTTTTGGAAAAGTTTCTTATAAATCAAGAAACCACATGAAAAAAAAACGTTCGTACATCACACGATTAAACTGGACAGTGAAAAGAAATTTAAAAATACAGGCAAAGCTTTCAAAATATGAGCAAGACATACAAATGAAAGCTAAAAAGTCAAATTTTGTGTCAAGTTTACAAGTTGCATAATTGTAATTTGCAATCTGTATGCTCTTTATACTAACTGGAACTCATAAATACTATGAATTCTGGAAAATTCACAAAATCAGGCAAATAAAATGGTCCTTATAAGGCACATGTATATCATATTGGGTTTGTAATTCTAATGTTTCATTTCGTATCAGTAACAGAAAATCTTTGAATAGAGCAGGGATTTTGTGACAAATCATAATTTTCGGTATTTTTAAAACATATTAAGAAATAAGAATATAGGTCTCAAAAATAATGTTTCTTTCCCATGTGTAAACTTCACAACAGATAAAATATCTGTAGCATTTCATGCCCATGGCGAAAAGCTTTACAACATATGAAAGAGGAACAAACTTTTCACACATTATTCAGACATTGAATATTTTCAAGAACATCATGTCAAACAATATTTAGAATAAGTCACCAAGTCTTACTTGTACTTCATTTTCTCTAGCATGATTTTAAATCATAAAAGCATGCAAGAATAGCAAAAAGATGCATTTTTCATATAATGTGTCACTTCTGATGACAATCACTATTGCACCACAGAACTGAACGAAATAAACAAATTTCCATGACACAATGATGATCATTATGCAGTGCTTGTATGATAAAAACATTCAAAATTGGTAATGATTTTATTCAAGTTTGATATAAACATCCCTCCTGTGTCTGTAGTTCCTGAGAAACATATACAATGAAACTGTAAATCTCATTTGACAGTATTACCTTCTTTATCAGAAATACAGACAGATTTTACGACTACCGTCTGAGGATACCTCTTGTCACAATATCACAACACCATCATTGATTGAATCTATGAAATCATGGTCAAGCCCAGAAAGAGCGTCGCTACTCGCAAAAGAACTAGAACTGAAGTACGAAATGTTTGAGCAATGAGCCTGCTTGGGATACTACAACTATGGAATGATGTTCCAGGTTTTGATGTACTCTACACTATTACGTTTCTATTACACAATCGCAAACACCTCCGAAAGATCAACCCAAGGCAATTTCAATATCCTTGTCCTTCTCTTTTTTGTAATATGTGAATATTACGACAACGTATTATTTAATCTAAACACGATTTCTATACGAAATACAAATAGGGTATTGAAATTGCCTCTGATTTTATTTTTTCGAAAGTGGTTGCGATCGTGTTCTAAATTATTGAGACTACTATTCTGACTACATCCCCCTGTTCTCTAAATCTTTAACCTTGTAGATTCGGACGAGCCAGTGCTCGGTGGTATAGGCTTCCTCCAACACATCCAGCTCAAAATCTTTGTTTCCGATCTCTGTGTTGCGCACCCTGTCGTATCCAGTGGGCTTGCCTGGAAGTGATATGAGAGAATTAGGAAATAATTTGATTTGATTAAAGAAATACATGACAGAACATTACATGACGTGTCTACTGACAACCCTCAGAAGAAGGTTGAATGAATGAATGAATGAAAGAATGGTGATGGTTATTTTACCTGACTGCTTAGAAAGCATAAATACTTGTAAGTAAGCAACCAGACTACCGACAGCTTTAGGTCCTCTCCGAGGGAAAGGTGCCCAGGACCTCAAAAGTTCCTATCAAATATGTTCCAGTTTATTCTATTCTGATACCTTTCATAAGAAATCTTACCATTATATTTTCAATTATTTAACTACTACCTCTTATCCTCTAACAAAATCTATGACGAGCTACAAAAGAAAATGCAGGTAAAAAAATGGATAATACTTCTCAATGGCTTCTTGCAAACCAAACTGGACTTATATAATTACACAATTTTGGTCTGACAGTGCACTGATGGAATATACCTTTATGAGGGTCCTTCTTTCACCCAGCCTCTCTTTCTTTAATTTTGAAGGCAAATTACCATGGAAACCTAAACACTTATTCTTATATCTCCAAAAAACAGTTTAAGAGATTCCTTCTTTTCTTATCAATTGAGATATTACACATCTTTCCATGTAGGTTTCTCTGATTCACAACAAAATGCACACTTTTATCAAACACAATATCTACTTGAATCAAGGAAAGCCTATCCAGATTGCTGGATTTGATTTAGCGAGAAGAAAAAGGCCTGGCCCACTGACACTAGGTTGGCCAGAGTGTTTCTCGCACAAAAAATATGGTACAAAAAGGCTGCACCACTAGCACAACATGCTCAACATGGAATGGACTAATATCACACGAGATAAAATTGGTCACTAGCTACCACATTTTGTTTTTTCTTAATCATGGACAAAACATATAGATCATTACTTTACAATGTCCATATAAAAGTGGTAAAAGGATTTTGCGAAGAGGTGAAGTCCAAATTACTGTAAGGAACGCCTATGTTTACTAGTATTGCTTTTGGTTACAATATAGTATTCAAGCATCATTTATTTCCAATTCCAATATAATTTTTAAAAAAGAGAATTTAAAAGCTTCAGAGTGCACTATTCATATGCCAACTTATGAATTTCAAGGTTAAGACAAATATGTTTAACAATACAATGCTAGAAGGAGCAAATTTACTTCATACACTATCCGAAGTGGCAAATATATAAAACATATATGGGCATTGAACGATAATGAAAGGGATAAAGGGAGAATAACAAACCTGCTTCTGTGTAGACTCTGCCGAAGCGATAGTAACACATCTTGTACATGAGGCAGTTGAGTAGAGTAGGGGAACCATCTCTATCGATACGGAACTCTCCATGTGGTGTGTAATAGTCAGATTCTAAAACGCAAAGACAAAAATAAATTCTTTGTTACCATTGTTATATTCTTTCTTTACTCACTGATCATTTGAACTCAATGAAATATACTTGCTAGATATAGTACTCATTTTCCCCTGCAGTATCATGGCCTAAATAGCTCTCAAAAATATTTTCAATTCTGAGGCCATCGTCAGCATTGCATTTGACGTTCTAGAGATCCTAACAAAACTGAACATTTTAGATTATATGTATTTTAAGCTACAAATTTCTTACTGAAATAATGCATGTTCTTTACCAAGCATCGTTTTTTTAAGCGGTCAAATTCTTTTACTACATTATTTACTGCTGTTTTTACATTAGGTCATACAAGCATACAAAGGTGGTTGCTGATAAGCAAAATATGCATGCTAACATTTCTGGAACATCACCATGACATAGTATCTCCATGTTCCATTCAATGAGGAAACTCAACCTAGCCCTGAAAAAACATATCATATACGGTTTGTATTGATATACATCGATACAAACCACTAAAAAATTTCATGATCGTTTTCGTTGATGATTCATGGCTGCAGTATTTTGTTTACCTTTTATATGTTTGCCTTCTTCTGTACTGCCTCCAATACGAACCATCCACAGGAATTTGTTGATATCTGGAAATGAAATGATGCAAAGTTAGGAAACAAGTCGCCATCCTTGAGGCAATGATGAAATCACACAAAACTAGGCAAAATTTGTTTTCCCACAAAAATGTAGCTGAATGTACATGTTCGACTTTTGCAATCCCATGCCTACCTGCCATTCGCAGCAAAAATTAGGCAAACTTAAGAATAGAGTCTTTTTAGTACACTTTTTACACAGAAGTTTTTAGAGAGAGAAAGGTATCTCTAGGGTTCACAATAATAGTTTGAGGGCCAAAAAATAGGAATGGTTTGCAGCTGAGCAATCCTAATCATTTTAAAAGTTACCTTTACCTAAAATATGTAGAAAATCAAAATGAGAACTGTAATAACAACCAATTGCCTTGTAATTCACACCACTGTAATGGAATTATGAATGCAATCTGTTTAAAGGGATTGGGTATTTTCGCCTCAGATTCTAAACAAAATCTTGGATTTAGCTCATGCTGCAATCATAATTATATACCTTTAGATCAGTCAGGAATCCCATGACTTTGACAAGCCGATCGCCTGTCTGATTTATTTTTATTTTTCGTTTTCCCAACTGGTTTTATAACGCTAGTCTATTGGGGAAAGTGAGTATGGTAAAACCGGTCACTCAAAGATTTTTATTTTTTTGAGGCACTTTTATGATCATTTTGAAGTGCAATTTTTAAGGGCTTCTAAATTACACCATATCACATACACTGATAACACATAGGGCCATGCATCTCAAATTCAACATTGTTAAACGATGCATTTAAATCTCACCATCTGAAGAGTATCCAATGAGTCCACCAAAGATGACGAGAACATAGTCCACATCCAGCTCTCTCATGATCTCATACGCATGATCCTCTGGTGACGCCATAGCCTGGATTATAAGATAAAAGAGAATGAATATGTGCCATGTTAACTGGAATACAGAGGACAGCTCAATGGATCAAGGTATATCTCTTCTACCACAAGATCCCTGATGAAGGCACAGCGTACAACTAACCTTTCGGTAAGACTTGAAGTCTTCTACTAGAGCGACATTACTGTCAGAGCTACCCTGGTTTCTGACTTGAAACTATATTATTGTTTGGCTGGCAAAAGGGCATGAACATATTTTTCGCCAAACTTCTGATAAAACTAGAAGTTATTGCTGTTTTGGTGAAGTAATAAGCTATCAAGGTTCTTAATATGGACAATTCAAGGACTTAGGTGTGTTGCCCAAGTGTAATCAAAGAAATTTTAAAATTTAGAGTGTATTTTTCTTCATTTTGTTCAAGCATCCATCGGGAGGGCGTTTCAAAAAACTTGTCATCAGTGACAAATGACAATTTTTGTTATAAGCTACTGAAATCCTTGCTTTTGATTGGTTATTAACAGATTTCTTACTGATTTTTGTCATTTGTCATTGAAAAAGGCTTTGTGAAACGCCCCCCAGATCCCTCCTGTCAGGTACTTGATATACATATTTTCTATACATCATACAGTACTATTAACATTAAAATGAGGCAAGGTTATAGTCCAACAATTTATCAGGGTATGGAATAACTGAAAATCTCCTAGGAGAAGGGGAAGGGGAGAAGGGGAAGGGGAGGTGGGGGGGGGGGAATAATCACATAAGACTTACAATATGGACTTACCTGGCCCACACGTGATATGTGAGTATTGTTCCACGTGTTATTATCCACTAATATCGTCCGATTCGCCATGGCCGTTATCTGATATCCATAATCCCACCACGACATCACCTTCGCATCCTACAAAGGACATAAACAAAAGAAATAAGCATGTTAGTTAATTTACTTGAAAAGCACATTTTTTTTGTCTACTTGTTTCTCACTTCTCCTCAACGGTTTTCAACTTTTTATCAAATTTTCATTGCCTTTCAATGCTGATAACCAATCAGAAGCAAGGATTTCAGTAGCTTATAACAAAAACTGTCATTTGTCACTGATGACAAGTTTTGTGAAACGGGGCCCTGTACTCAACTTGTATTTCTATACAACCTGTACATAATTACTATTTAACTTGTATTCAACTTGTCTTCAACCTGTATTCAACTTGTTTTCTACTTGTTCTCAACAGGCATTCGAATCTTCAGCATGATTGATAAAGTATTTCGTTACTTGTATGATCTCACTTCAGAGGAATTAAATTCTTAGCCATGTTGTTAAACAAATCTTCAATTTTGATCCAAACAAGATATATATTTTCACATATGTCATTGTAACATCAACCGAAAGAAGCTGTTAACAATGATAATAATCCATTGCATACAGTAACCAGGTGGTTCCAGTTTCAATAGAGTATTCAGTAATCAGTGGGGTAAGAACTCATTGAAAGCGATATACTATTGTTCCAATTTTTCTCATATTTTATAACAAACAAACTAAATACAGTCAAACCTGTCTATATCAACCACCCAAGGGAAACACAAAAAGTTACCTTTTTAGACAGGTTCCTTTAGTACATGTTTCAATGAGAAACCACTTTCAAGGGAAACAAAAAATGTGGTGTTGGTAGACAGGTGGTCCTTAAAGCAGGTTTGACTGTAACAGAATCAAGGGTAATCAGAATATGTATGGTTTGACCCTACACATATCAGTACAAATAGGTTGCATAATAACCCATTCCCAGATGGTGTATACATCTTACCTCCTTTGTGTTTTGTCGGAGCCAGTAGTAAGCCTCACGGAAGTCGTCAAAGATGATCCTGCCGCCGTCTCCGGCCCTCGCCGACAGGACAATGGAAGGAGAGGAGTAAGCCTCGGATGTAACCCAGGTGCAATGGAAGGTGTAGGTGATGAGGAAGAAAGTCATAAGCAGAATGACAGCTGATGCAACCTATTGAAAAATAAAAAGATTAATTACGTAAATACATTATAAATAATAAATAAATGAAACAAATTGAGATAGATTGACAAAAGGGCTACTGCCCCTAAAGATGTAACCTAGTTACAGTTCATGGTATAAGTGAAGAGTATGACAGTCATAAGTGAAATGATAGCAGATGCAATCTGTTGATATAAAATCAAATTAGGGTAAATATTACATAACGGCATCAGGTCAAAGGTTAAAGAAAATTGCATGTTTAGTCAATACAGCTAAGTGACATGCTGTGACAAAGAAAATCGGCACTGAAAAAAGCATTTACTAATAAATTTTACATTTCATACATAAACAAGCAGTTCAAAGAGTGAAGAGAGGTTTCCGAGCTTACCTCATTCTTGATAGGGTAAGTGTTATCACTGTACTCTTTCTTGGAGGATTTCTTCTCAGGTTTGGTGATGTCCAGGTTCTTCATGTAGATGGAGAGGACGGATGAGATCCCGATACCGGACAGGATGCACATGACGGGCGCGAGCACTAACATGAGACGCACCATCACACCCTGCAAGGATTCAAATATGGAACTAGAATGTCAGCGAAATGCTTAAAGCCTGTCTGCACTAGTTTGGCCAGGGGGGATTAGACCTCCCTGCGTGGTCACTGACAGGTGGTTATCTCATCAACTCAGCTCTCAAGTAACAGAAGAAAAAGGGGATCATGGGCGACCAACAGGCACCAATTAGGCATTGTTTGCTATATAGAGGGCGCAAGTAGCTATAATTAGTGCAGTGGGGCTTTAAATGAAAGGCTAATATTTGTAAAGATAAGAAGGGGGGCACTGGAAACATGAAGGAGAATCTCAGTGGAAGTTTCCAATGTAAGGCCAAAATTTGCAAATACAGGGGGGGGGGGGGGGGGTAGGGAAAGGGGAGGAGCCAATGTCTTGGAAGTATCTAGGCAAAAAGGACTGATGAGATGCTATTACCCGACAGGATATGCACATGACTGGTGCAACATCAGATGCAGGTGCGACATAAAAATATTTAATCTATACCAACTGCAAAATGTCTATAGCAACCAAACAAATGCTATGATTTCAGGAGCTTTCATCAATTGTTGTAACCGGTTATTGATATGTTTTGTGCAACAGGGTCCAGACAGACGGGTTGATACTCACTGAGAAATAAAGACTGGTGACGCCATAGAGGATGATGAAGATGTTTGCATCTGTGAGCTTGGTGAAGCAGTAGTACATGCCAACTGTGTAGGAAGATAAATCATAAAATCAGTCACTGATCAGTTGAAGTATTGATGAACAAGACATGAAAAAAGGGCGTTAAAAGTCTTCTCTAAAATGTAAGTCCACATAGAAATCAATAAAACAGTCAAACAGGTAGAAATTGTGGGGTTGTTTTTTTTTAATACAAAAAAAGAAGAAAGATTCATCCAAAAATGTATGACTTTCAAGTGGAAATAGCCGAGTAAACCTAAGTACATTGACAACTAAATTTAGCAATTGCTGGTGAAAAGAGTGATTGTACAACATATGATCCAGCTACAATTGATCATTTCCTGTAACACTAACCATATCGCTAACTTCCACCCTGGTCTCAACACTCCACCTATACCTGCCCCTAACCCTACACATAACACGAAAGCTAACCATAACACACGCCTCAACTCTGTATCATTGACAAAATGGAGCCTGGTGTGAATATTTCTACAGAAAATGTCTGATCACTAAAATGGCACTTTTGAGAGATCTGGGCTTATTTCACAAAACTTGTCATCAGTGTCAAATGACAGTAGTGTTATAAGCTAGTGAAATCCTTGCTTCTGATTGGTTATCATCAGATTTGTCACTGATTTTTGCCATTTGTCATTGAAAAGAGGCTTTGTGAAACAGGTCCCAGGATTGCTGGTTTACCTGGGAACATGAAGACATGCATCTGCAAATCAAAGTAGAATGAACTCCAGGTGGTGGGCTGATGTTCAGACACAGAGGCAATGATGGGGATGTTGTTCTTGGCGTAGGATGGATCCAGGAGGGAGTAGAAACGTCCAGTCCAGGGGGAGACCTCTGTTTACCAGGCTCAGGAAACATACTCATTTCATATTTATTGCATATATAAATTTTTGGTACATTTTAATTTTTCAAATTTGTAATTCTAGAATTCTAATCATATTGAAATAATATCTTGGAGGGCTTGTGCCTCATTGTCTGTAATTGATCCTGTTCTAGTCCCCCCCCCCCCCCCTAAGTTTTGTTTCTTCTTCCAAGCATTTTTTTTTTACTATTTCCGGAGTGGTAGGCTTCACAAAAACTGTATAAATCAAACCTACAGGTATAACTTTGTCTATTCATTGTCAGAAAGGTGTCAAATCAACGTCAAAGTATACAAGTCTCACTTTCATGCTCATGACAGTTAGTACACTATTTCAATTCAAAGGGTGAGAGGTGGTACAACCATACCAAACATTTTGGGAAAATAATTCAGCTCAGGAGATGGATTTATGTTTGCGATAAGGATACTGCCTGTAGCGGACAGGTAGGCTGTCACGCCAGCCAGGGCGGCGCCAAAGACAAGAACGGCGCTGCGGATGAGAATGTTGAAGTACTGCGTGCTCAGACGCGATCTTAGGTACTCCACAAAGCAGTAGATCTGACACAGTCCGAACACACCCAGGGCCTGAAGGGAGGAAGGAAGGAGGTGGAATACATGAGGGGTTGGTCGGTAGTTCATGTATGTTATCTTATGTTATGTAAATTTACGACAGAAGGTAGGTAGCTACGTGAGCATAAATCTATGAACTAAATCCATATTACATTGAATACAAATATTTCTGCTTTTACAAAGGTGTACAATTATGCCACACCAGAAGTGTTTAGAATGTAGTAAAGCAAAATTAAGTGAAGTATTTTTTGCTTAGGTTTCTTATGTTGACAATAATACAGATGCCAACAGGCCAAATCAAGTGTCTACATCAGCCTAAACATAATTATATTGTGTTAAAATATTTGATAAACTTAATTTTGCATACCACAGTATTTTATTCCTAGGTACATATGGAAGATAACAAAGTGAACTTACAAAGATTTTTGAGGGGTAAAGTTAAATTTTTCTCAGCCTCTGGAGAGCAAGGAGTGCTGTTAGACAGTCATATTACTAGATTACTATTCACTGCATGCTTATCTCCATCCTGTCGACCAAAACAGTATTCCAACCACCTACTGGTACTCACCGCCATGTGCTCACTGGACTGGACCGGTTGGAATCCAACAAAGGGGATTTGCATGGAGAGGATGGTGCCCAAGCAGTAGACGGTGCAGTAGACCACGTAGATCCTGTGGGTGAAGCGTCCGGTGGCCATCAGGGCCAGGGTATGCATCGGGATCAAGTTGATTAGGAAAACGTAGCCTCCCCATGAGGAAACCTAGAGAGAAAATAATGATTCAATAAAATACTAGGGTTTACATAAAACTTTTTCCTGGAATAATTTGTGCTAAATATTATTACTCTCCAGGATTTCTGATTATCTACAGCCAAGCTGAAAGTTTGTTTCCATAAGCTAAACAATACATCATAAAACCTGGCTACACAGAAATGGTCCTTGTAAGTGGAAGAAGCAATCGCTCTTTTGCTACATTCCATTCAAACAAACAAAATAATATCAATAACTGTTTCTTATAAAGCACTTTAATGGGTAAGCTCTTATAGTATTATTACTACCATGGTCACTGGATTCAAAAACGATTTTGCAATTTACGGTGTACACTCTCCACTCCACTTGGGAGGATTCCAGCCAGTCACATGTTGACTGGCGCACACATTTTAATCCAATCACACGCACAAAACACCTACATTCGACGACATTAGCATTAGATACAGTAACACAACAAAACCATCAGAGAGTAATTACCATGTAAAAGTAGGCTAGAGAGCAGAGGGCAGCCCAGAAGACGGACCCAGTTTTCACAGACTTGATCCAGAGAGCGTAGGTGAGAAGCATACAGAAGATAGCGATACCCTCGTTATCATAGGATCCGGCCACCGAACGGGAGATGTAACCGGGTACAATGGAGATCATGGCCGCTGCCACCAGACCAGCACCGGTGTCCTGGGAGGATAAAGGAAGAAGAGATGATGGTGTGAGGAAAAGAGTGGAAGACATACATGTATATAGAACCACACCCTCTCCATATCTTTCTACTCTAAATGAACAGATCACCCGGATGTCATTCAAGTGATCTTTATACTTATAATGATGAAGATAAAAGTGATTATTATCTTTATGAGGATTCCAAGAGGTACAATAAATCAGTGAATTCAATATCTTTAGCGCAGTACCCGGATGACCAACCAATATTGATTTCGTATTGCTCATTCATCCAGGAACTTCACACGAAAATTAGTGCAAAATAAGCGCGACACAGTCAGAGGTCCGCGCGCACAAGGCAGGGTACGCTTATTTTGCGCTAATTTTTAAACAATGAGTTATGTAAATGAGAGTTTAACCATGGGTTAAGTTAAACCTCTTTCGTGAATTCGGGCCAAAGCCATATTTACTGAGGTATTTAAGTCAAAATGTTGTTATTTCGCTTAACAGACTAATAATAGGTAATGATAATAATAATGTATGGCTTTGTTTTTGTGTGATACAAGAAAATATTGCTCTCGCTTAGACAATATTAGACTCGACTTTGACTTGTTTTATATTGTCATAGCTCGAGCAATATATTCTTGTATCACACTCAAAGCCATCCAATATTATATAAGTATTAGTCATGTAAATTTATTGCCAAAGAAAGTGTCTCCAAGTTATTCTCAAATGTTGACTATGTAACATATACAGCAATTCATTCTTAAAGTGTCACATCAGAGTAAGGTCCAAAGTTGTAAATTACTTCTAGTCATATCAGAAATACGACAACATTTCAAGAGCGATCCCTTTTCCAGGGAAATCGCTACAGCAATATTCATTTACATGGGAATTCAAATTTTGAAAAAGCTCAATAATTATGCCTCACCTTTCCCAGAACTCAACCTCCCCTTTCATTGATTGATTTTGGTATTTTCTTTGCATTATTAGCACATTGCTCTAACAAAAGCAAAGTCCTTGCTAAATTTTGTCCGAGACCATCTTCCAAAATTATATTTTTTCCTTCAAAGAAATCTATGTTAACTAAATACTCAGTCCTATAAAAAATATAAAAAATAAAAATAAATAATAATATGGTTATTTATATAGCGCAGGTATCCGTCAGGTTCTAAACATTGAAGGTCTTCTTTCTTGTAGAGTATGAACAAACCTTGAGCTCCTTGGTGAGATGGTAAGTGGCCAGAGTGGTGAGGGAGGAGAAGAGAGGGGCCAGGAACACACACACATTCCTCACATCAATGCTGATATGCAAGAAGTTGAGTGCATGGTAGATGACAGCAGATGTCAACATCAAACCTACGGTCAAAGGGTAACAAACAAATGTTTACCAGCATCATAATTTTTTACATCATCATCCTCATCACTACAACCGCATCTTCCCCATAATCATTATCAAGATTATCCCCATCGTCATCATCATCATTCTCCTCATCATAATCATTGATGAAATATGCAAATATTAATTAAGAAATGACTAATCTTTCTTCTTTCATCTTTAAAAATGCAAATGAAATCCACTATGCACATACTGGATTTGGATTTCCTCTAATATAGTAAAATGGATGAATCCTCCATTTCATCAAACCCATTTTAACCAGCTAGAGAAATGACCCAACAGCACACATGAGAAAGTGTCTACATATTCAGGTAGGCTCTCTAATTGTAGCAAGAGTCACTGATCTTGAAAAAACTAAAAATTGCGGCAACCAGGGAGTTTACAAACCTGGGTAGATGGTTCCCCCGATGATACGCCCCAGAGGATACCAGGCACGGTCATCAAACCAGTTGTGGAACTGGTAAAAGCCCTTCTCTGCCAAGTAGAGGGTGGTACGGTAGTTGAAGTAGGGATCAAACTCGTGAATAACGCTCTCAAAGCGCAATACAGAGAAGAGTCGGGTGGAGAAGGCTGAAATAGAACAAAAGCCATGCTTGAAACCATCTTAAAAACTCAGTTGCTACAAAACATAAACTGCATATTTGCCTTATTGTCCCATCCATAAAAGAAACCACTAAGGTCATCCAACCTGTTAACAAATATAATCAATCATCAATGAAAATTTTCACATTCATATTTCATACATATAAAGATTTCTCATCTGCATAAAAGTTTTCAATTTTCATAATTTGAATTTTGGTATCATCATCTCACTCTAAATGCTTGTCTTCACATCAATGTTATCAACATCCTCGAATTGCATTTTTTTTCTTGAACCCATAGACAACATGAGAGAATTTATTTCTGCATTAACCGCAAATGTCACGACATTGAATATTCAACAGATTTCTTCCTGTCTCATTTTCCTGAGATGTTTCTTCTCCTATCTCACATCTCATTCCCCAAATGTCTAGGTCATCCATGGATGAGCCAGAAGGGCATTAACTTTGTTTTAAGGTATATGACTTCACACCCTTTTGGCTCCAAATGAGCGATATGTCCATACTCTACAAACTTACACAGGATCATGCAGAAGACCAGGATGGAGAGCTTCAACAGAGTCTCCTGCTTCTCAAACGACATCCTTCCCAGGAACTGGGGCATGTAAGATGACCCCGTCTTCATGATGACGGGTGGTGTGGAGCCGGGATGTGTGGACGGGAATCCAAAATCTGAACATTTGAAAGAAGCAAGGTTTATGGATAGTTGTTAAGTGTACTTGAGCATGATTGCAAAGACTCTAAGCCTGGAAATCAAACAAAAGGCAATTCCAATTGCTGTGTTCATTACCTCTAGAAATGTGAAAATATTACAATAATTTACTGAACATGCTCAAAAGGAATGAATCGTTGCAATGCTAAAAGTGACTTTTGGCATTGCAATAATTCACATTATTCTGTGTTCATGAATAATTGATTCCATGATACAAATTTCATAGATTCATGAATGCAAGAAAATTGGATGTCATTTATAAATAACAAAATCTTCAAAGACAGTTGAGCAGAGTACTTAATTACAGTTTCAACTGGCATTAGACAGTACCATTACATTGTCATTAGTCACAAAAATCATCATACAACAGAAAATATCAAATTCCAAAATAGCAACAGCATATTATTAATTATCCAGTTCCTCCTTATTTAACTAAATGAACTATTTTTATTGTCACAATCAACACAGAAATTGCAGGACAATCAATTGTTGTCATGTTTACGTGAAGCCATGAAAAGATGAACATGATGAATTAATATTGGCACGTACGACTGGGAACGAGAATTGCGAACTCGAAGAGTCAAGAGAGGTCTAAACTCCAACGAAATTAAACATATTTTAAGGTCATATCCTACAGCTCAAATAATTTGTTCCACTTTGATTATGAATTGGCTTTTTAGTATATTTTCTAGCCCATGTCAGCTTAACTTTTGCCCAAACCAAAAACCCGAAGCGGTGGGCGGCGGCGAGCTCAGCTATGCCAGGGTTGCCAGCACACGCTTCATACACATACAATTACAAACTGCAGTGCCTTTCCCACTCGCCTGCCTACGTGGCGTAAAAATGGTAGGAAAAGTTCGAAACTCGGTCTAATTTCTCCTTTTTAAAGCATACATAACTAAATCTACACCTCAGAAAACATACTCTCATATATAACATGTTACAACCTCAACTTATTCTATCGACCACAAAAGTAGAAAATGCGGTGGCTTAGTAGAAATGTCAAACTTTAATGTACTTTCATAGCCACTGGCTTACCCGATTGCAAAGGTGATCACGGAAAGGTAGATATGAGTGTTGCCGACTTTTTGGTGATGTAGAAGCAACCATTATAAAAGGGGTAAACAATCGAAGCAGCAGAAATAATAAAATGTATTAGAAATCATACATAGATGTAGTACTATTTCTTTCAAATAATGAATAAGATGTGATATAATAGATGAGAATAAAATGTTTATGTATTCCAACTCTCATTTAAATTTTGACATAATTTATTTAATTTGTGTCCTTATTGCACAACGTTCCTTCCTTATAGTAAAACCATCCTTTAGTCAAAGCTTTTATATTTTGCGATAATATATAATTAAAATATTTGTCAAAAAAGATTTGTATATGATATCAAAAACTTTATATTACTTTTATTTATTTTTATGTATTTATAAATAAATATAAAAAGTCAATTTTGTATAAAAATAATTTTAATCTTTATATTTTTTTACAAATTCTGCAAAACCCATAGAGCTAATGTTAATTCTGCTATACTTATTATTAGGTATTCTTGACTATCGCAGAGTGGATGCCGAGAGCGAGAGATGCCGAAATATGGTCTAGGAAAACAAAATAATACAGCTAGCCCAGTTTATTTATGAAAGGATGATAATCAAGAGCTGAGTGTATTTTCAGGTAATGAAATAATCATATGCTTTTCTTTTCAATGGAAATATCAAGAGTCAGCTGCTACAAATACAATGCAATGCGATGCTAGCAGTGGCTAGTGGCAGGCAGTGATGTTTTTATGCCCGGCGCAGTTCGGTGTCACTTTTCAGAGATCTTGCACTGAGGTCGTGATGATGACACCGCCACCCTTCGCCCGTCTCCCGAATCATTTAGCCTTCTTTTCTATTTCTTTGCTAGTTTTTAGAGACTGTACGTGTTATACAAGCCTAGCTTTTCAGCAGTCTCCTCCATGACTAACCTGTTTTAATTAAAATTAAGTTTCATTGCTATGTACAATGCAATCCCATGTATTTTAATTTTTATTCTGTTGGAAATGGAAATGAGCGAAGTGAAATTAAATGAATTTCAAGGCCTTGATACTTTACTGATCACAAAGTTTTGACAATTTTTGTGGTGCTTTTCAATATAAGATCATCTTTTCTTATGTCATGTGTAAATTGTCTTATTTTACAGCCTGCTTATGAACAATGACAATGGCAAATTTTTTGATCACATTAAATCCTGCCATTTAATAGTCTAGATCTAGTCTATGCTAAAAAAAAAATTAAAAAAAAAAAAAAAAAATAACGTCTTGTGAAAATATATACCGGAACTTACTAGAATTAGTAGTTGAATTCTTATAGAAATGTTATGCCTGAATGTAAAAATGTTGACAAATACATGTAACAACTAACATTTAAAAGTTAAAACTTTACTGTGGTGGTACATATGTAATATATGACAAAACTTTATATTAAATTTATTCTGCAGGTGACCAGGGAATGAATGTTTACCTTCTATTTCTTATACATGTATTAAAAGAGAAGAGAAGACAGATATGGTGCTATAAGTTATAGCATCTGTCTTATCTTCTCTTTTGTCTTCTGTTCATGCCATGGGCTTGCTTAAGAGGGGGTGTAAGGTGCAACCCTCCCCCCTTCTATTCAAAGTTTTTATTTGGCAAATTCTACATTTTTTAATACTAGGCTGTCGGCAAATCTCATGAACTCTTTTCAGTTAGGAAAAAGTAAGTATGAGTATTAATCAGTGAATATGAAAATCCATCAACTTTTTTATGCTTGTTGGCAATTGGTCTGATGACCCCCTTGCTCATTCAAAATAATCTAACTGAGGCCCTCTTTCTGTTTTTATATACCAGTACATGTTTATCACAGAATTGAATGCACAGTATAAGTCTATGTGAAATGTTTAACAAGTATGGTAATTCTTAACAATTCCATCTTTTATACCGTTTGCTCATTGTCCAAGATCGGGTCAAGATTTCAATTAGAATCATTTAATCTGTGGATTTTGACACCTTAAATTGCTCTTACTTACTTATTTGTTATACTTGGTTGATTAGCCCTCTTGTCCTATGGGAAGGGCTCTCAGTTTTCTTTAATAAAAGTAGCCACAGTTGGTGCAGACACTATGTTTTGAGGTTAGCTGTGCCAGAGTTGGACCACTCGATTTGAACAAAAAGTGGTAAGCTAATTTTTGCAAGTACGTCTTTGGTAAAGCTTTGTAGTATGACCTCTTAGATCTTTTTGAGGAGCAGAGAAGAAATTTTCTGAATTATTCCTATATAGAGGGTATATCATTAAAATATTTGTAAGTATCGATCAAATCCGTCTTCTGTCTCCTCTCCTGTAAAGACTCTATCTTAGTCTTGGTGAGAATAACTATAACTATAATAACCATATTTCATGCACCAAACTGTAGTTGAATTACCCTTACAACTTAGGATAGAGAATGAGTGTGTACTCATATTTGTAATCACTACTCCATTAGTGGACATGGACTCAACACACATTTTTTAAACTGTCATCTGTTTGCTTCTCTGATATTTCTGCTTTCTTTTAGAGTAGTTGTCTATTTGGGTCGGATCTCCTTTAAGAAAATATGTCCCTTTTGTCATTTGTCTGCAGCATATTGATAGCTGTAGGTTTCCATTCCAACACCACACAAGTACCATGGCCGATGATTTCCTCACTGGGGAGGGGGCTCAGCTGGTAGGAGACCCCAGCCCTGCATCAGACCAGGGAGGCAAAGCTGAAAAGAAGGAGGTTGACTGGGGAAGGTTTGGGCTGAGCGACGAAAGCCATGCCAAGAGCTACACGGAGAACACACTGACGGGGTATGGAGGAGACGGCGGGTACCAGCAGGGGGAGGGTGGACAGAAGATACAAGAGCTTTTTGATGAACAGCAGGTGAGTTGCTGTTGTTGATGTTATTGTTTTTTTTTATTGAAATTTAAAGTGTGAGACAAAAGAAATCTGGACATATTCACAAGATAAGGATTGCAAAATATGAATTGTCAGTCTGAAATTCAAAGAGTTTCTGCTAAATCAGTTGTTTTGTTTCTCTTCTTGTTTTATTAAGTGAAATAGTCATCATATTTTAGATACCAGAATATTTTCATTTTCAACTGAAAGTGGGATAAGAAGAAGTGATAAGACACATGCTCCAGTGACATTTGCTTGATGCATTTTGTGAAAGATGTAGGATTAGGGTTTTGATGAGTGTTTCGATTTGGGTTTTATGTTTGGTTTAGAGTTAGGTATTGTGGTTGGTCCAGTGTCGAGTTTTTTTAATTATTTGTGTCAATTTTGTGTCATATTTTGAGCTACTGTATTGTTGCTGCTGAATAACCAGCGAACAATCGGAACAAAATAAGAGAGAGATAGGGGAGAAAGAGGGAGAGATGTGTTGATAAGTAAGTGTGGATGTGGGATAAGAAATAGAGAGTATTTGATTTGATTTATTTACCTACAGCAATACATTCCATACATGGATTTTACATACTATTACTGTATACAAGAAGAGAAACTATTGGTTGGTAAAAGAGGCCAGATAATAGCACAATAGCTAGTCGAGCCTAACCACTTAAACAGCTGAACAAAGTATTTTGATACAAATCAGTTCAGAAAACATAACAAAACAAAAAATAATGAATTTGCTATTACAATTGATAAATTAAAAAACAAGAATACGCAACAATGTCTCACAATATACAAACTAATAATGTAAAATAATATTGTAAGACATTGTTGATTATTCTTGTTTTTTAAACTTGATATTTCATTCATGACTTGTCAACAAATGACTTGTGACAGAATTCTGAAACCTATTTCTAGACCTTGTCAATCTGGCATCAATAGTTAATCTATTCCAAAATTCACTGCCCACAAAAGACATTGAAAATTGATCTTGTGTCGTTCTTAATTTTGGAAGACGTACATGTAATTGTCCAATTTCTTTTTGTCCTGTGGAATAGCTGTGTTCTATAATGTCACAGTACTCTATCAAAATATGAGGCAAATTGTCATTGACTAGATCAAACATGAAAGTAGAAATTGATAAATCATGTAAATTATACACATTTGGGTTTTGCAATCTTTTAAATAATGGATCTGAAGGAGTTCTTCATTCACTAAATGTTATAGCACGAACTGCCATTTTCTGTGAATACATGTACTTCTATGTAGGCTAGTCTAATAGGTACTTCCCCACACCTCTATTCCATAAGAAATATGTGGTACACAAGAATAGGAAAGGCAATTGAGAGAGAGCTAGAGAAACAGACAGACAGACAGACAGAGAGGAAGAGAGAGACAGACAGATAGAGAGAGTGGGTGGGGCAGTGAGACAGACAGGGACAGAAAGGGGGAAAATCAAAGATATGCCAGGTATCCAGTATAATAATAATAATAATAATAATAATAGTGCAGAGACGCCAAGTTCAAAGATCGGCAATGCGTGACATTTTCATGATTCGGCGCGCAAGCGCGCGTGCGAGGGTATAACACGTATAAGATATAGCGTTTTTCAAAATCTAGCGTGCGCGTCGTGCATAAGAGCATTTTCAGACCCCCGAAAGGTGTGATGTCAAGCCTAATGCGTGATACTTGGTAGCTCTATATATATATGTACAATGTACATGTAATTCCAGGATATTACAGTAGCAAGTAAACTCAGAATAACATGTACTTCTTAGCTACCAACCTAAATATGCAGTGCTCTAATGAGCTTGCTATCTAAATACGTCAGCCTGGCTGCATGGTTGCCGTGATACATGTTTGATCACTCATCGCGATAAGAACAACTGGTATACATTGTGGTCTTGAAATTGCTCTCAGTTCACTATCCTGAGAAAACATGGAATACAAAGAATACAATTTCAATTTGTGTAATGTTAAGTGGTATGTAAGCTTTAAATTCTTCATCTTGTATGAGAAATTCATGAATAGTTGTATGTAAATCTACATTCATGTATGTGTTATGGTTGAGGCTCCTTGGTTTGTAAATGTAGTGGTTGGTCTTGAAATTAAAAAAAAATGCAAACAAAAATTACATCTGAAAAAACATACAAGTACTGTATGTAAGGCCAATGGGCTACATTATACAAGTGCATGTGCAATGTAGATTTGCTTACTTTACAGTAGTTATGGGATAAAAATTGATTAGTGGAGATATTGTTTTCCAATCATGTATATGTACATGTACTTGGAATTATGCAATGATGAGTTAACATTCATGTAATGTACATGACATGTATGTGCGTATAGCTCTGTTGAAATTTGGCTTCATTTAAAACTAAACCTTTACATGTAGGTTAAAAGGAACTTTTATTGCATTCTTTTAGACAGAGATTAAAATGCAAATCTGATACTCTTCTTTTACATATCAGTACATGTATGTTCCTTTCTTCTTTGTTAATTATTGAATAACAATTATTTAAAAAGCAGACATATTTAAGTGACTGTTCTCTTGAGCACTCATGATTTGCTTTTGAACTTGGCATTTGTGCCAGTGGGTCTAAGATCTTGAAGAATTGATATTTGCACAATCACTTGCACATCTAGATGGCAGAAATGTCAAAGGTCCCAAAATGCACAAATAGTATAATTTTTACCTCTTCTAGAGTGTTTTCAGGATCTAGACTGCAGTGAATAAATATACGGTACTTCACAGAAAAGCAAACTTTCATTGTTGAGTGCAAAGAAGTTGCACTGTACACTGCAGACTGGATTTATTAACATGCATTTCCATGTGATACATTTTACACAAAAGAAATTTATATATATATACCGTAAGGCTGTGCACAACAGTGTAATGAGGTACCCGAGTACACTCCCAGGCTTACAAGCGAATACTCGAATATTCGGACGCCATGTTTTTTTATAATTTTTTGAATTTTTTGTTGTTGATTTTTTTATTTAAAAAAAAAAAAATGTTGCCACCACCATACCACTGGTGCAGTATCCCACGTCAGCCGCGAAAACCCTTGCAATTTTACTTCGAGTTGCAGTTGAAGGCGCCGATTTAGTAAACAGTGCTGTTTTAAAAACCAAAGATGGCAGAATAATCCATTTTCCTCCAAGTCCAAACAGAAATCCGGACATTTGGTCCCAGTTTCTGAGTTGTGAGTTTGACAGTGCTTGAGTTGGGAAACATTTTTACCAACGGTACCATGCCGGCGGCCGCCGCTCTCCCTGGCACGGGTAAGCGTCGGCCTGGACAGTGCCAGGTGACCGGGATTTTTTTTTTTTTTTTTTTTTTGCGGCCGAATATTTGAGTATGGGAAATCATACTCGAGTAGTTGTCAACAGTGCGGGTACTCGAGCATTCGACTACTCGTCGCAGCCCTAATATACCTTATATGAGTTCCAGAAATATACTCTTTTTGACAGTCAACGTAGTAACACACCCAGATATTGATCACAAGATTTCATAGATTTCCTAGAAATCTACTGAAGGACACTTTTGATTAGCTACATGTAAGCACATTTTTTATTGAAATGTGTGGTTCGTTTAATACCCGTATAATAAAACCATAATGTATTTTAGCAATACAATAAGATGTTGTATCAAATTAAATAAGGCTCACTAGAGTGGATATCTAACAAAGCCTGGTTATTGTTTTTTGATCTACTTTGTCTTAGAATTATTGACCATTGAAAGTATGCCCTGATTTAATTCTGGAGAATTCTCCCCCTAAAAAATCAATTTCTCAAATGATTAGATAGTTATTTGTGCATGACACATGTCACTTGCAATCCATCTGGATATTCTCTTTCGCTATTCATATGGTTCTACACAACAACGCACACATACACATTATATACACAGTCACGGGAGGAAACTTTATTGCATGCACGGTGCACACAGTCCACATCTACCCAAGACTACATTGTATAGAGCAGTATTACTAGAACATGTATGTGTGTAGTACACCATTCACTCATGAGTGTATTGCTGAGCTACTGCAGTAGTGCTGTATTTCCATCAAATAGCCTCCCACACACGCTGACCTCACAGTGCTCTGTGAATGACGTCAATCTTCAAATCAGATTCATTTACCCTGCAGTCTTGAATAGCTTGGCTTGTTTTCACGTCTGTAAAATCATGTTATGTACATGTAGGGAATACATCAATCATTTATGAGCTTCAATCTTGTGTTTCTTTGTGAATATGATAATTTGCATTCATTTTCATTTTAGAAAAAAAATAGAAGTAGGATCTACATTGTAGGGTATTTACATGTACATGTAACCAGGGCTCAAATTAATTTTTTGTCCACGGGGGCTCTTCCCCCCCAAAAAAGAGCCCCCGTGAGCCTTCTCACGGGGGCTCTTTTAGTACTGACGGGGGCTCTTTTTTATACAAATATCCATTGAATTGGTACCTATGATACTCCTCAATTATTTGCTATTTCATCATTATCATTTCAATCAGCATTTTCCCTCTTACAAATTTACAAGCTACATAGCTGTTACTGGCCTGTGTATATAATATATACACATACAACACTGATCTTTATGATGTCTTTAACGTGAAATATCTTCTTCTCCCCTTGCAAACGAGTAAGAAAACAAGGTCATTAAAATGGATTAAGCGACAAATAGTGATTGTGATTCAAATTGATGCGAATATTTGTTTGAATAAGCACTGCTATTCACCCGAATCTTCTTTGTAAAAACAACTTATACAAATCCCAGCCATGCTTACTGAGTTGAGACGTTCCATTCAATGTAAAATACTCATTAAAGAATACACTTCTCCTAATCTGAAAGTGATCTTACAACACAGTGGCAGATTTGCATGGCTGAGATTTGTAAAAGTCGTTTTTACAAAGAAGATTCTGGTGAAAAGCATTGCTTATTCAAAAAAATCATTGCATCAATTTGAATCACAATGATTATTTGTC